CATCAATGGGAAGTGAATCGAAAAGATGTTATATGCACCATAGATACCGTGGTACGTAGTGGTATTCATCGTCCAGAATGTGTGAAACCGACCGTATCGAACTAGATCACCGTGACTAGATCCTATCTGTGCTGTCACTGGAGAGAATGCGCCGATACGAGGGGAAGCTGATATCACTTTGACTCTAGAAAGTATCAACATCATGGATGAGATCTACTTCGCAGATATTGAGGATGAATTTGTTCTAGGAATGGACTTGATAAGTGATTATGGGTTCTCATTTGATGGTATACAGAGAACGATGACCTTCGTTGGAGACACATTTGTTCTGACGACACCAGCCGAAAGAGATATGTCAGAGAAATTGCGAGTTGTGAAGATTGTGAGAATTCCTGGATTATCTGAGAAGATCGTTTTTGCCAGTTTAGGAAAGGATCCTGCGTGATGCGTTGGAATAGTACAGTCATGTAAGAGTTTCCAATGTGTTTTCCAACAACAATAGTGAAAGAAGTTGATGATATTGGAACCTGTGAACCTGTGAAATGAGTAGCGAAGTATGACTTGAGAAATAGCCAGGACAGGAGAGGAGCATTGTAGAATGTATCGAAATTATTAGAGAAGTCTTTGAATCACTTATCACGAAATGGATATGAAGCTGACATGAGAATGACATCATCACTCTGGCCTTGCTCATTCGATACGGCAACCACCCAGAAGATTGTCTTTCGCAAAGCAACAAGAAATAGAAAAGCTTGTTAAGAAACTGCAGCAGGATGCAGTAATCAAAAAATCATCAGTTGTATTAATTTCCAAGAAGGGTGGATCCACAATCTTGTGTGGATTATATCAAATTCAGCGACGTCACCAAGAAGGGAAGATACCCCTTGCCAAGAATTGACGATACCCTAAAAACACTGGCAGGATCACGAAGGTTCTCAACACTAGATTTGAATAATGGAGACTGACAAGCCGGCATACATATGAAGGGGACAAGGACAAGACAGCCTTTTGTATTATGTATAATGCTCCGGCCAGTGCAGCCACTTACTTGGAAAACTTGCCTGGTATATCTTGATTACGTCTTAGTGATGGGGAGTAACTAAGAGGATAATCTCCGTAATATGCGAGAGGTTTTCCAACGGTTCAGCAATGACATCCTCAAAGTGAACCTTGAGAAGTGCTCACTGATCCAGAAGTGGACTTCTTTGGGTCACAAAGTATGGTCAAAGGGCATTGAAACAAATGAGACCAAAGTACAGGCAATTTGAGACTGGCCAAGACCGGTAGATAAATATGGGATGAGGAACTTTCTAAGATTGTGTACCTATTACCTCCGTTTTGTGAAGGAATTTGCTGATATCGCATGGCCACTACATGAGTTCGCAGAAGATAGAGCCCTACTTCAATTGGTCCACCGAACGTGATGGCATTCAAGCAGTTGAAAGCAGCCCTTTGTTCAAGTCCAATCTTGGGTTTCCCGTTTCCACAGCATAGAGGCTTGTTCACACTAGATACAGATGCTAGTTAAAAGGAAATGAGCACCATATTATCACGATTACATGATAGTCAAAAAAGGGTGATATATATATACAAGTGATGACCAAGCCGGAAAGAAAGTTTTCTGTCACCAGGAAGGAATAACTGGCAATCCACAAAGCGGTGGACTACTTCCACAAATACTCAAATGGAAGAGGGTTACACATCAGGACATATCATGTGGCTTTGAAGAGGCCCTCGAAGGACAAGAAGCAAGATTGCTGGAACATTGAAATGGACGTCCACACAGCTATGCTGAGGCCATGTCAATAAGAACATTCTCGGATACCTGCAAACATTACGCCAAGAAGGATGCCAGACGAATCAGACTCTTGACAAATGATAAATAGACAGCAGGACGTATGAGACAGGATCAAGAGGGGGACCTGAATATCGCCGACTACGTTGAGAAGAAGCAGAAGAATATCTCAAACTAAGGCCCAATTTTCAAGACTATGTGGGCACAGTGGGATTTCCTGGTTATCGAGATTGGCTTGATGAATCGAATATGGGAGTCAGCCGATAGAAGATCAGCAATTTCTCAATTGGTAGTGCCTAGGGACAGGAAGTCTTGATATAAATCCATGGTGGATCCTCTGGTGGACATCTAGGAGCAAATACCACTCTAGATAACATTCGACAAGGATTTTATTGGGCCAATATCGAAACGATCGAATTGCGAGATAGCTTGACGAAAATACATGAGAGAGATTGAGATGGGATAGTGATAAAATAAAGGGTTGGTTGATCTCAGAGTAAATTCAGATGGATTCTCAGTGGGAGACCAAGTTCGTCTGTATAGTCCACGTAAGAAGAAGTGAATTTCCTCCAAACTGACAGATTCACGGAAAGGGCCAAACAAGGTGGTGGAAAGATTCAATGGTGGTCTACAGTACACAGTGTAGCCCTCGGTCCAAAATGAGGGTTGTCCATCTCGAAAGGCTGAAGTCCTATCATGGTGATGTGGATGTGGGAACCGAATTTGATCGAGACGATCTTAAGGGGGATCAGTGTTAAGAGATTACATTTTGCGCAATAGACTTCGCGCCGCTGGTGGATCGCATCGCCACCAAACATAAACATGTTCGGTGGCATCGATTTTCGATGATTTGGCGAAGGTTCTCCGAAGGTTGTGAAAACGCCAGAATGTCTAAGGTCAGATATAAATATCGGCAGGTAGCCCGACGCTAGAAGGAAGTGCTTTTGAGTCATAGACGTCATAATTATGATTCTGTATCTTGTATTGTAGACTGCGATGTTTGTTTTTGGTATGAATCGTTATGTTTCCTACTGAGTGTTTGTTAGAATCCCGGACATTTCTCGTAACAGTGAACAAAATGATACTAACCTGGCGAACACAAAAACCGTGCAGAAGCAGGGTGGGGTTGAAAGGAAGGTTGCCAATTCGCCATTTTGTATTATTTTCATATATTTTCACATGATTGTCAAGGTGATTCTCTTGTGAAACTGACACATTTTGTATTATTCTGACATATTTTCTCATGAATATGCAATTTTTCGATAGAGAGTTTCTCTAGCACCTGCATCCGCCAATATAATATACCTACAAAGTGATGTACTAGAGGGACTTACACAATTTGTTCGTTATTCGACTTCGTTCATTTCGGTTTCACTAAATTCTGAAATATACCGATTTATAGTAAATGTTTCGTAATTGACCAAAAATTGCGATGATTTTTGTAAGAATGTCATGAATATTAGTAACTTCGTCAACCATTTTTATCTCAAATGTAAGCGACAGATGTTGTCATTAGGCAGTGTCAGCGATATTGTCATATTTTGTAGCAAATGTTCAATTTTGTTCGGTTTGAACAAATCTAACAATGATTATATAATAATGGTTCAATTTGGCAATGATGGGAGAATGCAGGACAAATTGTTGGGAAGCAAAAAGAGTTTACGCACAGCGTTTTCCGTATAGAATAACAATGGTTGCGAAGTAACTGATATATTTTTATGACATTCTTGTCAAAAATCATCCGTAATATTTTTGACAATCAGGAAACGTTCACTATAAACCGGTATAACTCAGAAATTACTAAAATAAATAGGTTCGAGTAAGTCACATAAAAGTTAATAAATAACATGTACTATCCAGTGCGCGTAATTCAAAGCAATCGATTAATATTTTCGATGCGTCGCGATGTTCAGCTATTAGTAGGCCTTGAATTTTTTTTTTAATCTACTTGATCACTTCCATCACTTTTTAAGGAAAGTGAATATTTCTATTCATTTTCGAGATATTGGCGTGCGGAGTTTTAAGTGAAAAACCTTTCCTTGTGATCAAAAAGGATGAATGAATTATCATTATCATTATTATTATTATTATAACAACAACAAGGGAAACGTGAGAATTCGTGACATGAACAATGATGCCACATATTCACAAGGCCCATCGATGAAACATCTACTAAAAAACTATGAATTACCTATCTAAATTCATGGCTAATATTCGAAATATCGTATGAGTATTATATATTTTTAAAAAGTGCGAAGCATCAGTGTTTTAAATATGCAAACATTTACACTTTGTTTCGTTTAAAAACAAAACTTTGGATCATATCCACGTTACGTGCATAATAAAACAGCTTATTTCGAAAATCTAACTACGCCACTGGATTCTTCGTAAAAAAGTGTGTGGAAGGCAGTTTTTACTTTCCCAATGAGTTGAAAGATAACTAAGACAAAGTGGAGGTCCCAAAATGCAACGTTTTTTTATTTCACCCTGTATCTCGGAAACGACGCTAGTTATGATAATGTAATTTGTTATCGTGAGTTTCACGAAAAAGTAGCCAAAGTTCGCAAAAACCGCAATTTTTTATCTTTCAAAATAGGTGAGATATCCCGTAAGGACATCGAGAATGGAAAAGCCTGTACAAAATGAGATATATATCATGATTTGTTTTATAACTGTTTCTATAATATATGAAGTGGGAAATCAATTTTCGCATGAAATAATCCACCCCCATCAACCCCCTAGGTCACAGATACCGAATAATGTTGATAAAGCAACCCCTATACTTGTGATACCTCATTTCAGTAATTTCAGTTGACGGGTAGCATAGATTCGGGTAGGTATATTTATATAGCTCAACCGAATGAAAAAATAAACCGTTCTCGTATAGATATTTGAAATACCTCTACAATATGACAATTTTGAATGGGTTGAACTGTATGGTAGGAGGTTGACAGGTGGTTGAACATTTTCATGTAAAAAAAACTATTTCCATGAATGAAATCGTCCTGTCCGAGGATTTTTTTAAATATAATTTTGTCATGGAGATACGGATTTTATTCTATTATAGGTTTCCACACTGTATATCGAATAATACCTAAGTATCTATAGATACTTGAGTTTTCCAGTTTTCTCGTTCACGACTGCATTTATATCACTATTAGACATGCATACCAAATATAAAAAAAAACAATTTAAAGAGACTTACACGATCAATATCGGAACCGGCTAACACAATAATAAGAGATGAACAGGACAATCTACGTCTTGTTTCGTACTGCATATGATTATCGTCGCAAACAACATTTCCTCCCATCAATGTATGCGCTGATTCAGCGTGGATCATCGACGCTTATGATTTATTGTAAATACTAATGTGAACAATCATTACCTCTATTGATTTTGTTTTATCAAATTAGAACAGGTAGCTACCAAGGTACCTTCTCACTGTTTACGTTTTTATTGTCTGAACCGCATTGGCGTAACTATGCTGTGTTTCCTGGGGGAGGAGACAGCAATAGCCCCTATTCTCTAAGGTCAATTGCTGTTAAATAGAAAGTTAGGTTTTTAACAATTTCATAGGTATTTTAAAGCATTCCATGTGACACGAATAAAATTAAACTCGAGATCATACTACATTTTATATGAATACTTTATTTATACAGAATCGATGCATTCGCGATAAACTAAATCAAATTGAAATTATTTTTGATTTTTAAAAACAATAAGTTACAGCTTCTTTGAGTAGAATACACATATAGTAAATCAATGTTACATTGATCATCTACATTAAAATTCAGTGCGACAAAGTGAGGTAAAAAGAGTGAATGGTGAATGTGAATATTATTTGATAGTTACTAAGAAAACAACGAATTCAAGTAAGAATGGTGAATTATTGTCGAAGTCTAGTTGATCATTCATTAGAATATTTGCGTTTGTTGATTGCTAATGATTTCAAAGGATTGATTTGTTACATTTGTTTTTTTATGTTGGGCTGATTCGATCGTTACTTGATATAGATCTATATTAAAGGTATACTATGTAATGGTTTCCAATGGAACAACCTCCTTTAGTCCGTGATTTATTTGTAATTGCAAATCAGTTTTCAATCTGAAATATGATATGACATTAGCTTCAACATTTCTTTGACATATTGCGATGAAAGGAGATTATAAATTCGTTACAATCTCTAGATTACTTATATGATCTTAGAATAACTTACCTGATACCAGGGCTATCAGTTATATATTAACAATATTTCTAGAAAGGCTATCAAATTGGAAATTGGTCTCAGCTCAATAAATGAACGATTAAATAATAAATAACATATCTCTTGGAAACATCATGTACTGAGTATTCTGCTACAACTTGCCCCTTTCTCAAAAACATACAATACTTCAACGTATTGTATAGTATATTATTCAATAGCAATATATTTTTTCAAATGACTTGCATGGAATGATCCGCGCTCTTTGGAAGTACTGTAGGGTCTATCAAAATGAACGTCGCTGGAGCTATATTTTTCTTAATCTTATATGGTCCCTCAAACAATAACAAAAACTTTTTTGTCTCCGAACGAATGGTCGACGACAATGGATTCGCCTTCAACAACACCAAATCACCAATTTTGAAAGATTCATAATTTCTTATCGGAGGTCGTCTAATGGTCCGACGAGCAGCTTTGCTCATTGACGTTTCATGTGCAAAATCTAATTTTCGTTCGTTGTCCCCGTGACTGGACTTCTTATCATAATTGGGTTCATTGAATTGGGTTGGCAACAACCGCAATGGTTCCTTTCCAAATTGTAGTTCATTAGGTGTACCTATACCCTGTCGACTCATGTACTAAGTTATTCAGAAACTTTGCAAAATTTGGCAACTCCATGGAACAACGTTTGTGCTGTTCATGGCAGTATGTCCTACATAACCTACTCATCTCCCGCATAACTCTTTCCACCGGATTCGACTGAGCATGACGCACTGATGAAAATATGACATTTACGCCAATAGATTGTAGAGTATTCCACCATTTCTCAGCATTTGTTGTTGCCCTTTTCAACGCATAAAAATTGACATATTTCGTGAAAACATCCATGACCACACACACAAAGGTCACTCCTCCTTTACTAGTCGGTACCGAACCAAATTATCTAATGCAACCAAATTATTCTTCCTATCTGGGATTATCGACTCGTATGGAAGTTCTGGTAACGGACCAGTTTTACTTTTCTGACATATCTGACATTCTCGGATAATCCCTTTCACTGATTTCGACATGTTATTCCACCATACCTCTTGTCGTAAAGCTCGCCATGTTTTGTATGAACCAAAATGACCTAAAGTAATATGATAACCTCCTACAATAGTATATTGTGCAACAAGTGGAAAAAGTTCAACTTTCCTCACGAGTGTGAAGGTTTGTGGCACGAGCCTGAAGGGCGAGTGATGCAAACACACGAGTGAGGAAAGTGCTTTTCCCCACATGTTGCACACTATACTTTTTCTACAACTGTACTTATTCAAAGAATCCGAGTAATATAGCTTGATGGTATTCATTTTAAAATGTGGCACTATGCCACATTGAATATTGTAACCAAAGAGCAGACGCCTTTCCTAGTTCCTCAAAGTATTTATAAAAAGTACATTTTCCGAAAAAGATTTCATTTTTGTATTTTTTTAGATTCCATAAATTCTTCGTTTATGCCAATTCATACTTTTTTCTTGAAATTTCCGAAAACAATTCCAACTTTCGCAGATTCTTCCATTATCTCTGCTCTGGCGGTGTATTTTTCAAAATCGTCACATCTCAGTATGTATCATATTTTTTATTATGAATTGTTGGAATTATATTCGATGGAAAATGCGCTTTCTATCAAAAGCACTAATGAGATCTATCCTACAGAATTTAAATTTTTTTTTTCTGACAGTTATGACAACGATTCAAAGCTAAACAGCAGCCAAGTTTTGGTCGATTTTTGTTGATTCTCCATGGAAATGTATGTGCGAGTGTATATATGTGGTGTTGAGAAAAAATATTTCTCACAGTATGAGCAATACATGGTTTTGAAACTAAGTTAGTTATGAGAAATGCGCTACTTTTCATAGCAGTAGTTGAAAAACTCTTTTTGCAATTCTTTTGGTATACATACTAGATGAAAATCATCGTTACTTTTTCGAAGGTATAGTATATCATAATGGATTAGAAATCTAGATTGTAATTTTATGTCAACTGGACGATTTCTAATAATATCACCCAGTTTTTCATCTTTTTTCTGATACTATTACTCATTTTTTTAGTTTTTAACTGTATTCCTACTGGTAATTTGACTGACACCAGGATCTTGAATAATTTATCGCATGGAACTGGTGGTGGTACTGACGTATACCGAGACAAAGCATCTGTAACCATATTTTGTGTCTCAGGAATGTGCTGCAATTGAAAATTGTATTACTGAATAGCAAGTGTATATCGAGCTATTCGGGCAGATAATAGCGTACAACTTTGCAAGTACGAAACTGACTTATTATCGGTATACACTATGAATTCTAGACCTAACAAATATACCCTGAACTCCTCTACCGCCCACACCAAGGCCTAAACCTCGCGTTCATTGATATGACATAATCTTTCTCTGTCTAATAAAACTCTACTAGCCCACGCAATAGCATATCGTCTCCCTTCTATCATTTGAAATAATTGAGCACCCCGTCCTACATCACTGGCATCAACTTGTAAACAACACGGAAACTCTTCCTGCTGATGATACCGTAAGGTGTTCTCTTGCAGTTTTCTTTTAAGATCATCGAATGCACGTTCCTCATCTTCTCCTCATCTCCATTCTACTTTTTTTTGTTAACAGTTGGACCAACGGTGATGCAATGGTCGCAAAAGGTTCACAGAAAGAACGATCAAAATTCGTCAAACCTAAGAAACTTTGCAACTCTTTAATATTAGTAGGAGTTTTATAATCAACGATAGCTTGTATTCTACTAGGATCTGGACTAAAACCACTTTTATTTACAATGTACCCCAAAAATGGAATCTCTTATCTGAAAAAAGAACATTTTCTTAACTTTAAAGTGAAACCATCAGCTTGTCTGAGTCGAGTTAATACTTTATCTGAATGTTCAAGATGCTCTTCAAATGATTGACTTATTATTAAAATATCATCTACATACAATTCCACGAAAGATTCAAATTCGTGCCCCAAGATTGTACCCAAACATCGACAGAATGCACTGACACTTGTTGATAATCCAAATGGCAAAGTTCGAAAACAATAAGTGTTGCCCTTAAAACGAAATCCTGTATAACGTTAACGTTGTAATGGAAGAGGAATTTGCCTATAACCATATGTACAATCTAAAGATGACATGAATTTGAATTTGATATTCTTTAAAGTAGGTATGTAAAATTTCATCGATAGGTCTCGTATTCACGTGCCATCATTTTATAAAGGTGTCATTAATCATTCATTAATAAATACATCTCTGGGAAATCCCGATTTTCCTTGGGATGTTTGCAGACAACACCCATGTCAGCATTTGCGATGTCCTATAACCTTCTCATCAGAACATCAGAATATTTGTGGGATGACACGAGATATACCAAAGATACTTCAAGGATGTGTTTTTGTTTGATGACAGTGACGAATGACCCGGGATGTACTATAAACATTCAGGAATCGCAGGGCACTCGATTGAAACATCCTGGGAGTTCAATTATCGAACTAATAATTTTTATTCTAAAAAGAGTATGTATTCAAACTCAAAGTCCCGGACCAATTCCCAGATTCACAGTAACAAATAAGAATGTTTGCTGTAGGTATATCCGAATATTCAAGGTCAGTGCTGCGGCCCAATAACTGATAGACGATAGTAAAAGTTGTTTGAGCCTTATTTGTTTTTCCTGATGGGTGGCATATGGTAGGAAGGAAGGACCTTAACAGAATATACCAACAAGATCCCGTGTTTTTAGGTACTACTATAGCGCTATATTCCAACCCTAAATGTGCATACTTTGAATCAAGTCTACATGTCAAACTCGTATCAATTCGCTTTCGTTTGTTTCAGAGTACAGATGTAGACGACTACGAAAAGCGAAGGGAATATATATCAGGATTTAGTGGAAGCTACGGTAACGCTATCGTAACCTTGGATAAAGCGGCCCTGTGGACGGATGGTCGATACCATTTGCAAGCTGATGAACAGATAGACTGTAACTGGTTGCTCTTCAGAGAAGGGCACAGCAACATTCCAACAATGGCCCAGTGGTTGAAAAGCAATTTGGCCAAAGGCGGTCGAATCGGGCTCAATCCAAAGTTAGTGTCGGAGCACATGTGGAAGGAACTAACTTCGGAATTGAAGGGCTCGCTCTTGACATTAGTAGCCATGAATATCAGCATGGTGGATATAATTTGGCCAACTGCTGAACGTGGAGTCAAGAGAAGCAAAGACGCATTCGTTTTAGAAACTGAATATACAGGTTAGATAGGATATCAAGTCTCTGCAATATAGAAGATTTGTTAACGTCAACTATAGTAACAGGTAGTTCATTATAAAAAGTGTATTCGAACAGCCTTGAAATTTCGCTATTGGAATGAATTTCGGCTGGTATCACAACCCCTAAAAGTAGATACACATGGTGTCCCAGTATTAACGCGTTCGCTGAGAAGTTTGTTTTGATATATAAGCAGGTTATGATCAGAAATTCAGCACCAGTTTTGGAAGGGTGAATATAAGAATTATTCGTCCTCCTCAGCACCTTCAGAATGGTGTTTCAAGCAGAATTATGCGATTCTGTGAGCACTTTACTTCAGCTGCTCCTGAGTTAACTGCAATTTTCATCTTCGTGTAGTCAGTAGAACTATCATCATGAGACCGTGGAATAATATATTATGTATATTCTATAGTTATGTATAATGATTAGATTCGTGGAATACTGGTGAATGCAAGCATCAATGATGAACCAGAGCCTATCTCAGTCAGTCGTCATCAGTAGATTGAACACAATGAAGGGTCAATTTTATTCTGAAAAATGAGTTTATGCTTTAATATTCAGGAATAACTAATTCAAATACTCTAAATAACAAAAGAAAAACATTCAGATATGAAAAAGTAAGAAAAATGTGAAAGTTATGACAGTGCTGATATAAAATATATACATGGAGTTCCTGGATCATCATTTGAACATCAGACATAGGAAATTATTGAAACAATTGCATAACAGTCCTTCAACTTATCGAAACAGGATAATAGGGTCAAATGAAATTTGATCTCATCCCACTCTCTTGTCTGATTATTTGCGGTCATGCATAAATCATTTGATCAAGCAATGACATTATTCAATAATATTCATTAGAGAGCATTGAACATTTCTGAAACCCATCTTTCGAAAATTCATAATAAATATGCAATTTTTTTACGAATGTTATGGATCAAAATATGAAGATGCTCATATCTGTTGAAATAGGTATCCAACATTCTATTTAAATGAATTTGATCTTGAAACAGAAAAAAATTTCGCCTGCGCCGCATTTTTGTTTGTATATAGGTACATAATAGACACCGCTTCTTTTCGACTGGTAATTGCGCTTTAACTAAATCGTCCAAAAACCTTATTCAAAAAAAGAATACTATGCCCTCTTCGAAGAGAATTTCATGAGTGTCTCAATAACTTATATTTGCTTTGGATATTTTATGTCCATTCGTAAAATATATATACCGGGTGACACAGGAGACTTGTAAACGCCTGTCAGGGACGTCAATTTATTTTCTGATGTCTATCATTCATATCAAGGATAAAAACTGGGGTGAAAACAGTTATTATGTAATGGTCATCCACTGAGGAAACCGTAGGATTCGGTCTATGAACCAGTCTCCCTGTTATTCTCGGCATCGAAAATTCAACATTCAGTTCTTTTAATTTCTGTTTGGCATCTTTCGAAATACTTAGATAGTATTTAGAATATCATTTATATTATTTTGAAGCGTCAGAAGAGTGATACTAACAACATCGTTAGCTTGTATTTGGTTTGGAGCAAATTACTGAGTGGCAGTGTTATCAAAAATATATTTGCCAAACAGCAGAGTGATATTACAAATTCGCAATTTCTCTGAGCTGTTGCGAAGTTTCTAGCTATGAAGACATATACACTTATTCATTCATTTATTCAAAATACCGACATTTTTACATATCCATGAGGTTCCCGAGGAGGGGGCCATGGCCCCATGCACCCCCCCCTCCCCTGGATCCGTCCTGCAGCCTGTAGTCTTTTTATTTGGAAAGATAAAACTTTGAAATTCACAAGGGTTATATTATCGACGATGGCGCTTTCCTTGAACCCAAAATGACAATTTTCTCCAACCACCTCTTTGGTATAATGAAGCATCGAATCGTTCCATTAATTATATCGATTCTTATATATGAATGAAGTCGTTGGGTTATTATGAAAATTCACAAATCATGAGAACAGTCTTGTTCAACGTGCTTATCTAACAATCAAAACTATTTATGAAGTAGACACATTTTCACAGACCCTTGAAAACATTTTTATGTGACTCTCTAATCCTGTCTTCAATTATTGTGATAACGTCACTATGGCCCAAGCCTCGATCCATAGATCTAATTTATGCTCGATCTAATTACTTCAGCACGAATACAAAAAGTTCTGAACGCCTGGACTATAGGTTTATTTATGCTCTGAATTATAGAGGTCATTGGTGTCTACCGTCTTCTTATGTTAACCAAAATGAATGGCTGAAAATTCATAATAGAAGAGAGCTACACTTTGCAACTTTAATTTACAAATAAATTTCGAAATAAACGCCTTATTGTTCCTATACCTCCTGAATACAATTCAACATCGACGTCAAGTTCACACTTACTTTGAGCGGTCCTTTACTTATCAGGCAGTAACTTTATATAATTCCATTAGTCAAAATTTTAAATGGTTATCTTTACGCACCTTAAAAAAATTGAACAGTCACTTCTGGATGAACAACAGGGTAATATATAATAATATTATACTAGCTGGTACTCATATTCCTTATGTCAACTAAATTTAGAATTATTATAATCTTGTTTTTGTACCAATAAATCACTATATTTGAATTGTATACCAACTTTGTACACAAACCTTGGTTGAGTGGAAGAATAGCTCTGCTAAACTCCGCCAACTAAATATTATTATTATTATTGTTCTGAAAAAAAAAAGTTCTATCCGTATTTCCGTTGCCCCCTTACGAGCAATCCTCAGAAGTCTTCGTTATTATCATTAGGGGTGATTAAAGTCTGACATCCCAATTGAATGAATGAAGCGTATAGGTTTCAGTCTTTTATGGTCATGACAATCAGCTCTTTCACATCTCTTTCATTGAATTGAATATCAGTGGTGGTTGATGCTTTAATCTATATGTACGAACGAAAGACATTTTAGAAATTTTGCACCCACTGTAAACGATAACCCGATAAGTTATGTATACTTTCTCAATGAAAAATATTTTGAATTGTTTCAGGAAAAAATTATACGACGAAAATAAAAGAAATCAGAAGAGAGCTGGAGGAAATTGGCGCCGATGCAATGGTGGTTACCTCACTAGATGAAATTGCTTGGTTATTGAATATAAGGAGTCGAGATGTTCCAAATTCGCCTTTCTTAAGAAGCTACGTAATTCTAGACACCCAGAATGTATTTTTGTATGTGAATTCGAGCCAACTTCAGAGCAATCGAGTTCGAAAAAAACTGAATTCTGACTCCATTATCCGCATAAATGATTCAGTTGTGTAAGTCATTACAATAGTCCAAGAGCACTGGGCCTCCAGATTTCTCGTTATATTGTTTTAGAACGTTCTTAGAGCGTTATCTCGCTCTCTAACGGTCCCATCATTTCGAGATCATTCAAATATTTGTTTCGGAACTTTAAAGCGTCTGGCGGAAGTTATGGTCGGGGCAAAGTGTCAAGTGTTCAATATTATTTCGTAATAATATCGTATGGGACATATATGGACATCAATCATTACAATTTAAGTGAAGGTATTCCTATTTTTTAACATTCTACCCTTGTACCTGTGAATTAGCCGTCTAATAACCAGCTTAGCTCGTATGTTAGCATTCACTGTACCGGTACCACTAAGAAAGGACGCCGGGCAGCGCCGGCTGTATCTCGGAAACTATTTGCCGCACAGGTTTCGGAAACAAATATTCATAATGAAAGTGGCTAAGAGAAATCTTTCAAGTTTCTAGGATGGCCGCTAGAGGGCGTAATTGCATTCGCTAGTTCAAAAGACGGATTTTTATGAGAATCTGATACATCAAGCCATATCGAAAACACTTTTTTCATAATCTCGAGTTGAGTCCCAATCATCTCGATCGAAAAATATTGTGCTAGCTCTTCGAATAAAAGTGCGAGGGGAGATGGAAAAACTATAACTACAGTTTGGTATAACGGAATTCAACGAACTTGGTCCCATTATGAAGGAGTTTTCCAGTCCTTTCAGATAGATCACGAATCCCGTGGTAGCCGCTACATGGCACCGCGTGGAAAATCAGACAGTTCTCCATTTTTCCTCAAGAATTCTAAATAGAACCATATATTTTTCCCACGCTAATATAAAAGTGGAGCAAACGAGAAGAGAAATGGTGAAAACCACAAGTTGATACTTCTCGAGAAACCGGAGAAATAATCAAGATAATATTGGAAAATATAAATTGAATATTTACCTACTGAAATAATTAGTAGCACTAGGGTCTTGCCAGATGCTCAAATAGTTGTCTTTCTCAATTTTCCATACAAGAATTGAGACTTCGTCAAGTGGATAAAACAGTTCTGATCCACTTGATCAAATCGCCCCAAGTTATTGGTCGGGTTTGAAAACCCATATCTTTCAACCGTCCCCGCAAATAAAAATCTGAACAAGTCAAATCTGGAGACCTTGCTGGCTACCCAAACATGCTACCACTTCCTATATATCCACTTGCCAGGATATCTTGAATCTGAATAATTTCGCACGTTAGCAAAATGGGCCGGGCATGTAGTGCTGCACTAAATATTAACTGCAGGAAGTTCAACATCAAGGGGGTTGATGAGAAATCGAAAAAAGTATACCTCACATTTCCAATCATATATTATATACAGGGTGCTGCGAAATTCGGCCGACAACGCTGCTTGACAGGTGATAGCCCTCGTGATTTCATAATCACTGAGATAGGGACATACGGTCTTCAAGTGTTTAGTTCTTGAGATACAGGGAGTTGAAGTTGAGAAATTGAAATAGGTTTTTCGCAATATTTCAAGAAAAATTGAATATAATGCATTCAAATTCGGTATATATGGTTTCATCTTTCAATTGTTAATTTTTTGACAAGAAAGACATTCCGACAATTTTACCAAGAGGTGCGCTACAGAGGGTTGTGATAACTTTTCCTCCCATATTTTCTACGCCACTGATGAAATTTCGATTATTTCCAATTTCTCGAATTGATTGTTCAATTATGTTGAAAAACTGCATCATCTTCAACTGAGCTAAAATGAACAGTTATCGAGATATTTGACCCAAAATAGAAGTTTGCATAGTAATTTATCACCTTCTTCAGTAGTAGAACATTACAACATTTTTTGTTTTCTCTTTATGCGTGGAATAACTATTCCTGTTCAGCTACAGAATGAGATCTGCATAGTAATCTACTCAGCACCAGAATAATATTTTTGCAATTTTCTACTACTGAAAATGATGAAATATTACTATGCAATTCTCTATTTTGGGTTTCTAGGACTGAAGAACCCCGCCTTCATAATGAGACCAATTTTGTTGACTGTTGTTAAACCAAACTGTAGTTATAAGAGCTGTTTCATAGTACTATCCATCCTCCCCTGTCTCATTTATTCATCGAGATGATTGGAAATCAAATTGAGATTATAAAAAAAGGTGTTTTTGACATGTCTTGATATATCAGATTCTCATAAAAACTCGTTTAAACTGGCGTATGCATTTACGCCCTCTAGCGGTCGTCCTGTGAACTTGAAAGTATTTTTCTTGGCCTCTTCATCATGAATGTTTCCTTCCGAAACGTGTGCGGCGAATAGTTTCCAAGATATAGCCAGCTTCCTTTCATAGTGGTACACCCATTACACAGAATACCCATTCTGTGCCCATTATATACTTATGTAACACTACTCGACGCCTCACATTTTGTACTTTAGAAAATAAGTTATGTGGGGGCCCTGGACTCTTACTCTATAATAGGTATATATAGGTACTTACAATACGTTTCCAGTTATATTCAATATAGATAAATGACCAACTGCCAAATGCATATGTTATCTCTGAATGACATCGCAAGAATCATAAGGGTTTAGAGCTCTAGATACATTTCTAAATAAATCATGCATGGTAAAATGAATATATGTATTTTCAAGTCCAATTGCATATCGATTGAATAGTTTTCCAGCCATATTCGAAATGAATATCATACTATATATTGTTCAATTTCTGATTCACAATATATATCATATGAGCAATATTGTAAACATATTGTTTGGAAAATACATACTGATATAAGCATTTCGATAATAATTTAATATCACTCTCAAACCGACGTCGATAGATGGCGCTATAAATTCTTGGTAACGTACTTCCAGTGGCTTGACACGATTGAAAAGCATACTTACCTGGCGTAGGAGTTATACAGTCGTGATCAACAAGGCAGCTTCCCCACACGAACCCAATGTTGCCGAATGTTATCATTTCATGAATGTCTCGCCAAATATTGGTATGAACAAATTCTACGAATATTTCCAGAGCAACATAATAATTTTCAATGATCCACTAATATTTCCAACTAATATCGCACCAATATTGTCAAATGGCCACTTTTCATTTCTTGCAAATATTGATTTCACATTTTGTGACTTATATATATAACTCTATGAATATTCAACCAATATTGGTGTGACAATATTTCACCAATGTTTTCAAGACGACATTGCAACATGCTGATTTTCATATTCCACCAACATATTTTGAAACTAATGTTGTACCAATATCGCCGAATGTTCACATTTTGTTTCTCGCCAATATTACGCCCATAATATTTCGCAGATATTTTCGTTAAATTGCACCGATATTGTCCCAAAATATGTGTGCTACTACTGCTACTTGGGAAAGTTGGGTTTCCTGTGGAAAAATTCCTAGAATGATTTTATGAAAAATCGACTCTTTTTATTAATTTCAACAAAAACATACAGTGTCCAAAAGGATGTTTGTCTCTGAAAACCTTATCATATACCAGGTGTCCCAAGTTATTGTATACAGGCAATATCTCGCTTATTTGACAAGACAATTGAAAAATTCAAAGACTGCATTGAATGACATCGAAATAGCTTCTTAATGACATAAAAAAGTCTATTACATTTGACAGTTCTCTGGCAGCTATCCCTCACTTTTTATTTCAAAATGGCACCCCTCTACATATAATGTCATTGAAAATTGCGTGTCATCCTATAAGGAATACAACGATAGCATATACTTGGTATTTCTAAGTTACAGCTACATTTAATGAAGTATGAATTTCAACTGAAATATTTTTATGCGAGTCTAACAATGAACTAAAAATCACAGCAAGTGTTCAAAATCATTTCGACATGAGAAGCATCGGCTTATCGAAAAAAAAAACATGAGTAGAGGCAATTTTTCATTTTCATAAGGATAATTGAGTAACTTGAAACAAGTCACAAAATGTTGATATTTTTGTATATGCTACTGTTGCATTTCAAATTCAATGACACGTAAAATTCACAATGACTTTATACAGGGGCCGGGTGTCATTTAGAAATAAAAAGTGGGGGTACTGTCATTAGGAATGTCATTCAATGCAGTTTTTGAATATTTCAAATATCTTTTCAAATAAGCGAGATATTGCCTGTATACGATAACTTGGGACACCCGGTATAGCTGAGATATAGAGGGGGAGCCTTTCAAAGTCAGACACGCTGTATAGATACCCGGTGTAATAGGATCATGGTACACTCAATCATTTTTATGAACTTAATTTGGTACTTAATCAATTTTTTTTAGCATTACACCAGTCGATATAATATGAGTACATCAAACTCGATCATAATAGTAAAAGACACACTCAGATAGAAAATCAAAAATGAAATTGAAAGCAATAGGCCTGTTCGTTTGTTCATGCTCAACCTGCTAGACTTGATTTTTTTCTATGACTTTCTTTGTTTACATCATGGCATGAACAGAGACAACTATGGGAGAAAGATCAACTTTATATATTATATAGCCAGTTTAGCAATACAAACGAACAGGCCTAAAATTGAAGTTTGAAATGTCATTTAAGTGGCATATATCATTAGATTCAGAAAATGAAGTAGAATTCGAAAATTCAATGATATACAGGGTGCTCCATTCGATCAAAAGTTATTACCACTTCCTGTGAAACCGGAAGTGAAAAATAAAACATGTTCATGGGTCATTCCAAATTTCACACTTATCTCTAGAACTGGAGGAGAAAAATTGGGTGTCCCATCATCCTAGCTGTTACACCCGGTATAAAACTGCGTACTGATAAATATCAGAGATTTAACCTGTTCATTTAGTGAATCTGTACATCTAACGATTAACCTGATATTTGTTTATAATTTTAGATGTATTATAATTTATTGACCTGGGTACCATCCTTGATTATATAGTGAATACTCAATGGTATCATCGAAGTAGATTATAGGGTTAAATACACATAATAATTGTTGGTTCTTTCAATTACCATATCCTTATTTTGAATTGAGTACAGGTACAGCTATTACCTCATCAACTCAACAATAGCACTGATTCCTCTTTTGTTGCATGTATATTGGAAGTTTATACAGGGTGATTCTGAAATTGGATCGATAAATAAAATGGGGTGTTTATTGAGAAAACTCGACCAAGTTGATCGTTTTCTTGATAAAAGTCGATTGTGACTAGAAAATGTTCACCTAAAGTAGGAAAATGAAGTACTTGAAGCAGGCAAAACTATATTTCTGAAACAAGGTTTCTGCTGTAACTGATTGATGGACATCACTTATATCCCTAATAACACACCTCGATCCATCCATTGGACATCCAATGGATATCCTCAACAGGACATCCTAGACATCCATAGGATACACTCATTTGTGTACACATGACATCCTATGGATATGTCCATAGGATATCAGCGTTACACATTTTAGGACATATTGGACATATAAACCACCCTATACGTTTTCAAAAGGTTATTTTTTATTATTTCAAACATAGTTCATGGGTGAAACCTAAAGCACATTCGTATTCAATAAAAAAGCGTACAAGTATTAAAAAGACAGGACTTCGGGTCCTAGTTCTAGTTGTGTGAAACTGGCAGCCAATGCTTTGTGTTTTCGATTACCTATGACAACTTTACTGTCAACATTTGGTGAACAATCATTCCCGATAGCCCGTTTTATGTGCAGAATAGGATGACGTTAATTTCTCTCTGTAATATATTTGTACGCTTTTTTTTTGAATGCGACTGTATACAGTGTCATTCATAAAGTCGGCATCATATGAGAAAAACTTTTATTAATGACTTATTTCAGAATTTGAGTTGGACGTTGAGTTTTGCTTCAAAAAATATGAAAAATGGCCTACTCAATCGGGGTCACGTGACTTTCGCTACATGTCAAAAGTGAAATTTTTTCAAATTAATCGCTGAAAGTAGGCTTATTTGTTCGAATATCGAAAAAGTTCACTTGAAAAAGTTGTTTCTATTTCAATTTTACATATGTGACTCGGATTTTAACTTTCTATTACATTTAGATTTCGATATTTTTTAAAAATTTTCGAAATTTCTGTAATATTAAAAAAATTGTAAATTCGATAAAACTACTTCATATCAGTAGTTTCATGTTTGCATCAAACATAACAGAATTTGGAAGCGGGTATTATCATTTTCTGAAGAAAATCATATTTCTGTCCATAATCAGTGATAATGAGTAATTGAAAGTAAGTAGCATGAAAAAGCTACTGGTATGAAGTAGTTTCGTGGGATTAACAATTCTTCAAATATTACAGAAATTTCGAAAAATTAAAAAAAAATCAAAATCAAAAAGTTGCAATAGAAAGATCAAATTCGAGAAGCATGTGTAAAATTGAATTAGAAACAACTTTTTCAAGTAAACTTTTTCGATATTCGAACAAATAAGCCTACTTTCAGCGATTAATTTGAAAAAATTTCACTTTTGACATGTAGCGAAAGTCACGTGACCCCGATTTTTCATCTTTTTGGAAGCAAAACTTAACGTCCAACTCGAATTCCAAAATAAGTCTTAATAAAAGTTTTTCCCATATGATGCCGACTTTATGAATGACACTGTATATGATATGATAAAAAAATAGACAGTACCTATACGCTTAGGATATGATTACAAATTGGAAAAGAAGAGTGGTCCAATGCACTGGCATAAAAACTGAAATGGATATTTTGCATTATTTCTGAATTATTTTTGAAAATATTCATTGCATTCTCAATCCGTCTCCATGATTCCTGTTCAGTATTTACTGGTCTGAAGTACACCTGAAACAGTATAGGTACTGCTCCCCATAAAACATAGTATACTTTCTCTGCCGCTTCATCTACTTATTTGAAAACTGTTGAATCAAACAGCAGTGGACATTCAGAGTGAAATGTGGTGGAGCCTCATCATGCATATGAGACACATGTGAATAAGGTGTTCCATTGATTATTATCGTCAGTTTTAGTCGATGGGGCAAGATAATTGGACCCAAGATGAAAATTCCTTGAACTGCCAAATTCCTGTACACACATCATCTGTTGTCGTATCATTCAAGAGTTTTTCAACATCCGATATAATTTTCTCTATTTTATAGTAGATTCTTCGGAAGAACCAGTTTCAAATCGTTTTTCTTCTGTTCATTCTGGTGAAGGGTGTTTGCACCTACCTATCCAAGAAATATGTTATGTTATCGTAACAATTCGCAATTAGGAACACCTGGATATACACAGAAATAATAAGAACTTACTTGTTACGTGAAGGCCGTATAAAGCTGGAAATTGAGGCATAATAATTCAACTATGGAATACTGGAAATTTTCTTCTTCTCATTTTACTTCTCTCAAAATTTGTCGCCACAATGGACATCCCAACAATAAACTTATGGATGTCCAATATGTACTGCCAAGTATCCGGTATGAACATCCAAGTGGATATTCGATGTACGTCCATGGACATAAATAGGCTTCCACTGCTTCCAGATGGAGTACACACTAGACTAGATCATCAACTGGATATACAACGATGTGCATTAGAAGATAGTTCCATTTGGCGAGCCAAAGCTCGAAATTGGTCTGTAGGTAGTCAAGCGCGTACCTGAACAATTTGAGCACCATTCAACATTTAGGAAAGAAACACTCGCATCTTATTCGTCGATGTTGGGAGGATGTAAAACAAATGTTCTGCGTGGCATATAGCCAGGAAAGTAGTTGTTTTTCTCTCGTTATCTACCACTTTCGTTCATTTATGAACATTTGTGGAATTGACTTGGGCTTTGCATGATGGTTCAACATATCATTCCATTAGGCTATTCCGTTGTTGAAATTACACGGAGATGAAAAATCATTAATCCTAAGTGAATATTTATTAGTGGCAAGTGAAAACTTCTAAACTATTTTGTGAAAGAAAACAAGTACATAGCCACGAGAATACTTGTGTTCCTGAAAATGAACACCTACCACTATTAACCTGTTCCATTGAATTTCAGATTGATTACCGTTATCTACCATTTAATTGGTATCAATCAGATGGCATAATTCTCCTCTCTCGCACAGGAAAGTGCCATTTTTCAATCATTTTGCTCAGGATTCTATACTAAGTCCAAAAATATGCTCATATGTCAGTTACAGGGAGTGTGAATTAATTCTATATGTGGAGTTAAATCTGGACATGAATTTTAATTTCAGACTGAGGAACTATGATGATATATGGAGTGATCTGAGAGTGAAGTCACAACTTTATAATACGATTTTGGTACCATCCCATTGCGTTTATAGTGAAGGAGCTAGTCATGCTATTTATGAGCACATTCTTCCAGAACGACAACTGCCACGACAATCTCCGATAATATACCTGAAAGCAATCAAAAACGCCGTCGAAATCAAAGTTATGCAAGATACAAATATTCGTGATGCAGCAGCTGTTTGTGATTGTTTTGCATACATAGAAGAAAGGGTGAGTTGGTATATCAAGTCAATTTTCAGTATTCTCAATCCATGTATTGTCCAAGTCACTATATATTGTGCTTTTTTTCTGTTTCGATTTTACTGACTATCTCACGCATCACATAATCTGACCAATCATAAGCCAGAGACAACGTGTGCGTATCGCGAAAACATTAGCTGTCTCTCAATTCTGATTGGTCCATTAGCGTTGATGTTTTCAATAGCGAAGCAAACTCTATCAGTTTGGCATAAAATAATTATGGCTGTACTTGTCAGAATTGATCATTCATTTATAATAAATTCTTTTCATTCATCGTGAACGCGGTAATAGTCTAGCAAAATATCACTCTGTTCTGAATATCTTCTCACAATTTTATCTTCCATTGTTGACTCAATTGTGTTGCCGTACAGCAATACCACTCGTCCCGCCGTTGCTTGGCAACACAATTTTTTGAATAATGAAGCGACAGAACTCTCTCGAATATTCAGAACATCGTGATATTACTGATGAAAACTAATGACAAAGATTTCGCCGAATTGGAAGACTTCCTGTTGGAGGCTAATTCATTAGTTCATTCGCTTGTTCATAAAATGGTCATGTAGCTCCAGTAATCTGTCAATTTGTAGCATTTTATGTCGTTCGCCGTCGCATTAAGAGTGAATTGAATTCCTTCAGCATATTTATTTGGTGGGTGAAAAAATATGCAGAAAATGTAGAACAGTCATAGGTTTAACTCCAAAAATTGTAATCAGATTGAAATTGTAATGAACTCGTGTTAGGTATGTATTGCCGAATTGAGAATGTGTACAACTATTTTTTTGTTTCTATGTCTATTCATTGCAAATATGTGGAGATCAAACATATATATCTATGTTTCCCAACATTAAATCTCTCATAGATAGATATCATTCGAAAGTATTCTGGAAACATACTTTTGAGATGAAAATTAAATACTTAAATACCTACCCATTTTGTAACAAACTGGAATGAAGTTTGCAGTTTAAAAAAAAAGGTATTTATTTCTCCTCTAGTTTTGACAATCTCATCTATATCACTATTACTGGCTCTAGCTTATTTCGGTTTTGCTACGTCTCGTTATCACCACACAAAAAGATTGTCACATAACCTGTTCGTTTCGTTGAAAGACAAGTGTCCTATTACACTCTACATGAATGTAATAAATATTTACGTAATTATGTAGGAAACGGTTTAACTTGTGTGACGAAGGAATTTTGCGGGAGGAACGAAGTGGGATTTCGCAAACGCAGAAACAAAGATTGATTGATCTCCATTTTGAAATTATCTTGTTCATTGGGCCCTTTTAAATTTAATTGTGGAAGATCCACAATTGGATTATAGTAATAGTTTCGAACATAACACATATATCACTCGTTTCTGTTTCAGATGAATGCTGGCGATAAATTTATGGAAATGGATATTGTGAACTTATTGAACGAATATAGGTTTGAACAAAATTTCAGTTTAGGAAACAGCTTCCGAACGATAGCTGGATTTGCATCAAATGCTGCCTTTCCAAATTACGAGCCTACATTGAACACTGATGTTCAAATTTTCAAAAACAGCACACTCGTTCTAGATTCTGGTGGACAATATTTAGGTATGCGTTCCTCAATATTATATTATTAGTTAGCTACTTTGTTCATTGTTCTGATGATGTTGAAAGCCTATCACATTATTAGGAAGGCAAAGATGAAACCTGTTTGAAATTTCATCTCTCAGCAAGTACACATAATTTATATATTTATACTTATAGTTAATCATTCAATGAACACTAATTATATTCAGGTGGTACAACAGACGTAACTCGTACTCTACATTATGGCAAGCCAAGTGAGGATATGAAAGATGCATATACTAGAGTTCTCATTGGACTAATTCGGTTATCCACGCTGACATTCCCTAGCAACATGAAAATGGCGGTAGCGGATTCTATGACGAGAGCTTCCCTTTGGGAGGTTGGCCTAGATTATTTACACGAATCTGGCCATGGAGTTGGCGCTTTTTTAGGAGTACACGAGTGTAAGTATAAAAGCAAAAGGTACATCATTATTGACTACTTGAAAATTATAACGTTTCAGCTCCCATCAAGATTCATTTTGACTCAGAAACCAGTTTTCAGCAAGTTTTTAAACCAGGATATTTCCTCTCAAATGGTGAGTGAAAATCCTACAATTTCGGGGACTGGATTAACCATCCGAAAAATATATTCCAGAACCTGGATTCTACAGAGAAGGTGAATTTGGTATCCGACTAGAAAATATAATGGAAGTTATCGAGCATCCATGGTTAACAACCAGCGGTCATAAGTTCCTTGGATTCAAAACAATAACATTTGTTCCATTTGAACCAAAGCTGATGAAGCTGAGTTTACTGTCCATCCACCAAGTAAGTTAGATAACTTTTTCGCCCACGAGATCGAAACTATCTCTCGATCAGTCCCATCCAAAAAATAATGATGCTGAAGACATTTAGATAGGAGATGGTGTTCTATTCAAAGTTGTTCATTATATTCAAATTCACTAACCCATTTGTGTAAATAACTATCTTAATACTAGGATAAACTCTTTTTGTGTTCAATTCTTTTCGATGTCTATCACATCTGTCTATATCTATCTTTATTTTGCTAAAATTACGTTCACTTTCAGAGGGCCTACTAAGTAATTCTTACTGAACTATACATTAGCTACGGCTGATATCAAATTGATGTTCACTCTTAAAAGGCTAGAGTGGAACTGATATAAATAGTATAATTTTTCTGTAATCGGCGCAAAAGTCGTCCATTTTTGTTTCAAAATCAGCTCTTGAAGTTGACGTTTCTCGTTTCTTTTACTGACATAATTAAATGATTGGCATGTCCCAGGTAGCACATCATATTGGCTGGAACGACCTGATTTCATATTGGATATATATCGTACATGTGAAAAAATAATATAGGTTCAATATGAGAGTATATTGAAATATTAGTTTAACCTGAGCTGAATATGGATTGTCAGCTACAATATAATTCGTTGACAATGTGTTGAAGAACATATCTATAAATGTTATTTAATATTGTTTTACAAATGTCGATACAACAACATCGTATATATATTGTTCTCAACGATTTTGAACGATATTTGAAACATCATATTCACCTATCTTGATTGATATAATTTCATCTATATCATGCGGAAGACATCGTATACATATTGTTTCCAACAATTATAACCAATAGGTATAGGAATTTGAACATTCTCCTCATGTGAATTCTGAAGCGGTTATGAAATATTGTATGTTCGAGTTCGACGGCACATTGGTAGAATATTGTTTCAACAATATTTGGAACATTGAATTTAGCTATATTGATTGATATCATCCTCCTAGTAACTGAAAAGGATGTACTAGGTCATCAAGAATAAACAACATTGTTATAGTTGGTTATTTGGGTTGGGACGCATACCTGATTTGTTCCCGATTTCGGCTGATTTGGAATTTCATACCCATGCTGGAGATATTAAATATACCATAATGAAGTTAAGTATTGTTTTGATCAGGAAAGCCTTCAAGATTCACATACTTGCTTGATCTGTATTCAATTCATTCTCGGGATCTGATTGATTGGATAACTCGTTTTTAAGTAATCACGGCCAGCAATACTTTTTTGTTTCACAAAACGATATTGTTTAGCTCCATTTAATTACCGAGCCAAACACAGTGGAATATGGAGAGAAATAAATAATCGCTATCATTATTGTTGATATGCTCTACTCTAACATTTTTTACTTCTTTTTCCTATACCTGGCACTGGCGCGGTATTTGCTATTAGGGCTGACAGCTGGTCCAAGTGAATTCATCGATTCAATAGAATACACAAATGGGTCACTCTGTGGTTGTATTTGTATTGAAACTACAATTCGAACATCCTTGAAAATTGAATAAACCTGATCTGTAAATGCAGGTAGAATATTCTCACCACACGGATTATTTGTTGTATTGCATACATAGGGCACGGCATCCACGATTCGGGTATAGTATTGAATTCGTGCCTGTAGTACCTTATGATGCATGACAACACAAATTGTAACAAAGTAAAGTCATCGTCCACCAATATTTTCTATTGTAAAGTAGTCTGATGTCTTGCTTCTATATCTACTTACCTATATTATTATAATAAAGATATTATGATAATCTGTCAAGTAAGTCACATTGGTGGTTACTTCACGTATTTATTTCAGTTAATTCTTTCGGTTGCAGAAAAAATAGCACGTTTAATTCGGATTAAAGGGGACTATTTGACTCGCAAATTTTGCTTCTCTCTAGACGCCCCCCCCCCTCCGCCTCGCAAATGAAAAATTCGCTTGTCAAACAAAGTGAGTTGACACTTTTGATTCTAATAAAACAATATACTTTTGTTTCAGAGAAGGTGGTTGAATAGTTACAACGAACAAGTTCGACGACTGGTTGGTGCTGAATTGAAAAGGCAGAATAGGATGAATGGTTTCTACTGGATGATGGAGAAAACTAAACAGGTTCCAGAGCATGGTCGTGGTAGCATTCTTTTGTGTCAGCCCGTATTAGTTGCTGTTATTAATATACTGTTTATTGTAATCTTTGTGTAAAGGATTTATATCTTGTCAATCTTTTATGAAACTGATTATTTTGATTTGTATATTTTATTTGTTATTTGTAATCGATACATCTGTTATAAATGTTTATTTTTGATATTTTTATTATTATTATAAGCATTTAATAATCTGTGGTAGTAAAAAATTGTATTTTATTATTCGAAAACAATGTACCTATGTATAATATTTATCTCGATAATTATAATAGTAGGTAATATAAATATATCTCAAACATCAACAAGCAATAAATAAATAAATGTCAGTCGAAAACCTATACTTTTCGAAGATCAAGAACTTCTAGGCCTGCATTATTTTCTATCCTTACATGATCCGCCACCTGAAAAAGTTAGATTTCTATATACAAGACAATCCACGGATTTTGCTTGAATAAACAAAATTGATAATATTCCCTGCAATAATATACAGGGTCATTCCATATATTTAATCAGCTCCTACAGGGTTCATCATTCAAGTTAGAAAAATACTTCTGAACGTTCAGAAAATTGAACGAGGTGAAGCAAATATCGCTGGTATAAGAAATGGGTACTAACTTCATTATTTTCAATGAAACACCCTATATATTTTTCGAAAAAATTGAAAATCATCCTTTACTGATTTCAAAAATATATAGGTTGTTGATATTCGGTTCAATCGTTTTCAAAATATTCGAGGTTGAACATTTTTCACTTGAAATTTGCTTTTACCGCAGTTGCCATGAAAAATGAATCAACAACACATACACAAAAAAATGCATATGTGTTGTTGATTCTTCATAATTGCGATATGGTAAAATAAAACCAATTCTAGATTCTTCTTTGTTTTTGCATGTATGACAAATTGATATTCATCATACAGGACGTGGAAAGAAATTGTAAATTCTAGTTATATTATAGAGAGATGCAAATTGTGTATATCATGAGGAATCGCTGAAAGATAACTGTACTTCGGGTTACTGAAGAGGGTTTGAAATCCGAAATGAATTGATTCGAATGAAGTCATATTATAACCTGTTTGTGGGACATATAGTTCCCATATCACTGATACGAATAATTTTTTTGGAAGTTCCAAGCTCATCAAGATCAGAGTTTATACAAGTTTACTTCTCATATATATTTCAATTTGCATTTCAATACTGAACATATTGGTAAGTTATATTTTTAAATCATAATACATTATATTATTCATCAGATTTGAGAGATAGTCAATTCTCAATTTCAAAGTATTTTAATTTTTCATGCTCTCTTTTTTTATGTTCAACAAATATAATTCAATGTTGGACGTGGCAAATATAAAGTAGTTGTTTTCTGATGAATATTGGGAATGATGTTATTTGCAAATACATATTTTTATTCGAAGAAAATGCGAATTCTCAACTTTAGAAGTTTTAGTTTTCAAATTCTTATCGTGTGTGTTCAATAAATATAATTCAATGTTAGTCATGGCATATAGCCAGGAAAGTAGTTGTTTTCTGTTGAATAAACCAAGAAAGAATTGTTTTTTTATAACATAGAGAATGCGACTTCTCAATGTATTTCTCTATATGTAGGGGGGATGTGGGAGAGGTGGGACATTTTTCAGAAATTGATTTTTCTCCTTTCAAGTATTGGACATTTTTTTTAATAAAAAATTCTGTAACATACCTTGATTCATTGGGCAACTTTTTGCAGAATTACAATTTTTTTATTGATTGAATAGTAGTGTTAAAAAATAAAGTTCACTGTTATGTTTCTGTCCCAACTCTCCCTTGTACGAGGGAGAGCTGGGACAATCAATGGGGAGAATCGGGACAGGATCAAGAAACATCCACAAGTCTTGACAAATTTTTTTTCTTACATAAAACAACATGAGAAACAGAAAAAAATTAATAATGGAGAAAATTAAAACATTTCAGCCTTTTTGGTATGAGTAGGTAAGGAACATAAAATCAGAAATTTCACAATGTTATTGAAGAAAGTTAAATCAAATATTAACGTAAGTCTATAATTTTCCTCAAATATTTACTAGGAAACTCCACCATGTTTTGTGTACGTGCAATACCGTATTTGTGAATCAGAGGAGGTAATTTCCGTTCTACGTCGGAAATTTCAACAACTCTTTTCTCTTGTACAAGTGGAAAAACAAATTTATTGGTTTGCCGTTCTCTTCGCAGAAATTCTACTTCCAGTCCATCCTCCAAGATAGATAATAATTTACCAACATAAAAGATTGTTTTTTTCTTAGTGGAAAACCTGATGAGGAGATAGTCTGATATGCAATAGTTTTGGTCAAGATCCGTATCAGAATTATCACACTAAATCGGAAAAACTTTCATCCATATCAGATTCTCCTGATTCAGCGTATGGGATCTCACCAGCTTCATCTTCACTTGAAGAGGAGGCTATTTTCCTTTTGATATTCTTGATTTTCTTGTCACGAATTCCTTGCTTTTTGTTCTCACGAGCTTCAATTTCTGCAATGATGCCATCTTTTATTGGTGTATGTGTCAGAATTCGTGATTTGGCAGGCTTACGACCTCTTCTGGTTTGTTTTCTAGCTGCTGCTTTAACATGTGGTCGGATTTGTTCAGGAGTTAAAATTGTTTTTGTTTGTTGACTAGGATCTTTGGGATCTTGGATAGACGTGGAGGGAGTTGATTGATGAGGTACGACTTGCATCATCAGGTCGATGTTGATCAGTTCCTGCATGTAATGTAGGATCTGATCTATATGTAACGGCTGCTGACAAAAAATCTGCGTCGGTAAAAACATTTCGGTCGAATGGGAAAATACCAGGCTTCTTGAACGCAGCTTGGATAGTTGCAGGTGTCAGTGCTTTAACCATGGCATGAGAAGACATTGGAGCTATCTCGCTGATAGTTTTTCCAGGATTCCTCTTCATCCACGAATCACATTCAGCATTGTAATATGATTTCAAAGGAGCGTATACGCCTACATCTAAGGGTTGCAGTTTATGTGAGCAATGTGGCGGAAATGTTAATAGGACAATATTGTTCTGCTTGCAGAAGTTCAGTGACTCAATGGATATGTGGCTATCGTGATTGTATAATAGTAGGAGAACTGGCCGATCTGCGACAGGTTTTGCGAATTGGAAGAAATGCTTTAGGTATAAGGCGAAGTTAATATCCATCATCCAACCGGATGGATTAGCAGCTCCCGCAGCTCCTGCTATGGCATCATTGAGCATATACTCCTTGAAATTCACCCTTGGGAAAATATAAAATGGCGGAATAGTCTGACCAGCTGCATTAATCGTGAATAAACCTGTCACTAAACTTCCCCTCTCTGCTGAAACGACTTGGCCGACTTGCCTGACGCCTTTCTCAGCAACTACTTTCCGCGGATTCTGAACTGTCGTGAGGCCTGTTTCGTCACAGTTATGAATATCATGTGCCGCAAAGTTATATTTCGTCATCACCTCATCCAAATTATCGAAGAATTCACCCACGTTTTTACGGTTGAAACTAGTGCAGCGTGAAAGACTTGTTGCTTCTGGTTTCCTGATAGATATAGTAGGATTTCGTGTTTTGAATCCTTTCCACCAGTCCTCCCCAGCTTTTCCATTTTTCTGCCAGTTTTAAGGAAATCTTTTCCCATTGGCTATGGCGAATGGAAATGCAAAATTCACGAACTTGCAGTTTGCTAAGACCATAATGCATTCTGGACGCAGTTATAATGTATTCAACGAGCATCAGTTCTTCTTCATTTGTGAAAACCCGTGACTGTGCGTAAGTGGAGCTATATTTCTCAAGAAAACTCAAACGCTTCCCCAAATTTTTCTCGTTAACGTACCTTGAGAGCGAAGTCTTTGGTATACCAAATTTTGCAGCGACTTTTCGCAAGCCACCATTATTTTTGTATTCGGCAACAGCTTCTTCCATGATGTGATTTGGGATCACTGGGTTTTGATAATTGAAATAAAGGAGACATGGGACGTCCCAACTCTCCCTTGAAATAGTGTCCCAACTCTCCCATACTGTTATATTACACTTTCAGTGGCCATATTGTTTTCTAAGTTGAAGTGAATCATGAAATCACTACTACATTTCATAGCTTAATCATTGGCCATCATATGTATAATTAACTTTCAGATATACCTTACATTGCGAAGAAATAAATCGAATTATTTGATGAATCAAAATAATAACTTTTGAGTCCAATAAATAGTAATAGTTACCTGGTATTTTAATAAAACAACACACGCGTCTGGTACTGAGGTTCATTCACGTCTGCCTCGGATGTGCTTAACCTGTATTGACAACAATAAAATTCTACCAACCAAACTCGAGAAAAATTCGCTGTCCCAACTCACTCGCGGTGCCAACTCTCCTACACATTCCCTACATCCATTTTTTAATTTTTTATGTTCATAATTTATCTGAGAATATTCCTTCTCAATAATTCTAGAATGTTCAACTTCGAATATTTCACAAACAGATGAACCGAATATCAACTACCAATATATTTTTGAAATCAGAAAAGAGAGGTCTTTCATTTTGAAAATAATGAATCTCTTTTATCAGCGATATTCATTTGTTTCACCTCGTATTTGATTTTTTTTCTATCGTCAATAATGAACCCTGTAGAAGCTATTTACTAATGCATTTTGGATGTGAATAAAAACTAAATTTGAAGGTGGATTTGGGAATGTCTGATATTGATATTTGTTTTTGAACAAAATCTTCTCAAGTAAACAAATTGAGTGGCGAAGATGTATAAATATTCCCCTTTTTCATAAAATATGAAATCCGTTTGTCACAGAAAACTGCAATACCTGAAGCAATATTGATTTAAGATTACACACTGACCTGGAATAGTGGTGGTTCTGTGGGATGTGGATGAAAACCGGTTTTTCTGCAATTGGCCACAAAATGTAAACCATATTCTGGCGTGAGATTGAAATAACCAGTTCTGTAATCATGGATTCAATCATCATCAAAAAATCTGAGACACAAAATATTATATAATTAAACGACAGCATTATTATCACAGCACTCGCCTTCGGCTCGTACTGCAATTTTCATCTTCGTGATCAGTAGCCTTTATCGCGAATAGAATAGCATACTTCATCTGGAGCTATTCAAGTTTTAGCAACTTTGAGAGTTCAAGAATAAATGTTTGAAAATCAGATGTTTGTATTGCAACGCTACTCAATCTGATTGACGTTTCATCAAACATTTTATTGAGCATTATGTCTAGAATTGATCAACAACTTATTATGAATCAATCTGATGATTATTGATAATTTTCATAGTGAAAAATGCGCATCAGTCGACCATATCAGCAGTTAGACCATTTTATATAAATGGCCGCTTTACTATGTATTCAATCAATGTAACAATGCATGTTCAATCCCCCTGATTGGTCTGTTCTCTATTTGAATATTGCAACAAATTTCAATTTTTCTTTTTATTTGTACGACGTTTGAAACTATGGAAAATGAAAATGTAAGTCTATTGAATTTGCATATATTTCACAAGCAGTCATTGTACTGTACTTAGTAGATACAAGACGATAGGATGTCACAATATTATGAAACTGCATTGTAATTATTACTGAATTCAAACAACAATGACTGTCATTAACTCTTGAATATCCAGTTAGCAGTGGATGGGCGGATATTCAGTATTTTGGCAATTGACCATGAAACTTTTGAGAAAAAACTATTTCCTATGACCGAAAAGCAATCTCACAAAAAATTTAAGAACTGTTTTCGACTACTGCTCATATTCTCAGCTACTCCAAATACTCATTTCATACAAGTATTCTTGAATTTAAAGTGTAATTTTTAAACCAAATGTTAGTACACTGGGCGCTTCAACTCACGAGGAATTTCAAGAGTTGTTGGATGGCCCATATTAGTAGAGCTGAGATAGACAATTTTGGAGTCCATCACATAGGTACTTTATGAAGAAGAATCTAGATCAATAGACGAATTGACCATGCTATCTATTGATTTGAGTACAATAATTACCATATATTATTAACCTTTGATAGAAGTCAATTTCAAACAAAGTGGAGTCTTCCTTATGCTATTAATATTATTTTTATTATTTGGTATTGTTATCATCAACATGAGGTCATATCAAAACTGACTTTCACTTACTCATTATATTTAGGGGAACACACAATTGCAATCGCTTCCGGCATTAGAAGTTGATAAGGACAATGTGTGTGAAGATCTACACTAGAAAGGAATGCTGTTTGGGTTGGATGAGTCTAAAAAAAATCACAAATGAACAATTATGTATATCAGTTTACTTCGAAGTAGTAGCTTTATAATTAGATAATCATTTAATCTTGATGCAGTGGGTCTTTTCAAATTAGAAGTTAGGTACATAAGCTTCTTGGATTGAATTACGTCAAAATTGAAAGTTTTAAGTACTTACATGTATCCATCCGATTGTAATTAAGTTATGTTGATCTTGATAATCAAAAATCTCCTCTTCATGTATGGTTGTACATGAATCAGAGGTACCATTTTGTTTTGGTAGAATCATATGAGTTATTTTCAATTCATCCCTTTCCTGAAACAAAGAACGTCTTGGAATGACAAAACTAACATATTTCTGCCAGCATATTTGAAATCAAAAATGTTTCGTCATGTCCAAAGTTATTGTATTTCAGAGGGTAGTTTTTTTATTATGTTCATGAAAATCTAAGAAATTGTACAGAAAGGGGCTCATTATTGAAATATTCAGAACAAATTGGCTTCACTTTTCAAAAAGTTAGGATATTCATTTTTTCAACTTATTACACCCACGTTATTTTATTCATATTGTTACATACAAACAAAGCGCGTCGTAAAATTGTGACGTTCGTTCAGAACTACTCAAAATGTATATATGGAAGAATCATAACTACAATATCTTAAGAAACTACGCCAGAAACTTTTCGAGACAGATCAATCTTTTAGTCAACGCTCCACGTTTCTCTGCCTTCACACTCACTTTACTCTGAATGAATTTTCAAAAAACTATCTCCTTCTCAATATGCCTATCAAGATAAATCGACCCATAACACCGCTTCGACTCTGTAATAATATATATTCTTGATAAACCGTCCCAACGTCAAGAATAATAAAGACAAAACTTCTAAATTCGAAAAATCAGGGGTATACAAACTCAAAGGTGGATCTTGTCCTAATGTATATATCGGTCAGACAGGTCGTACGTTTAATCAGCGCATTCATGAACATAAGATGAATTTTATGAAAAAGAAAACAAATTCAACATACGCCAACCATATATTAGAAGAAAACCATAGTTTTGATGATAATCTCGAAATTCTGCACGTAGAAAATAAAGGACTGAAACTCAATCATTTTGAATCATTAGAAATCAACAAACTCAAAAATTTTGACATTTTACTTAATGATCAATTAGACCTTAATAGTTCACCACTGTTGAATTTGTTTTCTTAGTAAGTAATAATATGTATTTGATATCAACTCTTTCAAGTTAATCCGGTATACCGTAATTTAATGTAGATATTGTGCCTAATTTCCGAAAATGGAGGTTTATCGTACCTGTCCACAGGTAACTAATCCTTCAGGTTGGGAAGGTAAGATATATAAAAGTTAAGCAAGTCAACGTTAGTTTAGTTCATTGTACCAGTATATCACCTGACGAAGCTACTGTGTTAGCGAAACATGTCGTGTGTTTAATAAATTTTGTGGAAATCTTATCGTTTGTGAAGTTTTTACATGGATCCACTTATATAATTAACCCAACTGAAAATAGTAAATTATGCAACCAAAACCAACTGGAATCAATCAACCACATCATGTTAGATTGTCCAATCTATTGTTCAATGAAACCCTTGGATTCGGGTTGTTTATCTAGCCCTAATTCTCTGTTCTACGCACTTGAAAACCTCTTGACTGAATCAGCTAAAAAGATTGCTCACTATATTTGGAATGTCCTCCAGCTAGGATCCTTCATTTTGAAAGAATAATGCTGTTTATCACGTCCAGGTCATTATAAATTTCAGTATTTGGCAATGCTTGATTTCTGCATCATTGCAGATTATTCTTCAGGCTCTAACTTTACTCATTCTTAGTTACTATACTATACTCTTTATATATACACACACATTAGGGCCAAATATACTTGATAACCAAATCCTTGCTGTGAAACTGTTTGTTTTTGGAAGCAATAAAAAGCCACAAAATATCAATGTTATATAACCCGAATATTTAGAACTTATAGTATTACTACTGAGAATATCGGCGGTGACATCACTACTGTCGAAACCGCAAAGTGTGATTATGATAAAATTATTTCAACTGTTGAGACCAAGTGTCTAGTCTGAGCAATTTTCTAGCAAAGCCCTTTTTTGGCAATCTTGTAGATTGTAGATTGAAGATGGGTCGTATAGGCTGAGAGACCTCTCGATCACTGCGAACTAGAAGATCTATTGTGATTACCCTATCTAGTTTTGGTCCTCTAACCCTAGACTTCTGATGAAGCCTACGATTTTCCTGACGGTTGACTTTTCCACTTCAGCAGGGGTGAGATAGACCTGTTCTAGGTGGTTCAGCCTTTGGCGGACTAATACTTCACATGAGCAAAGTATGTGTTCTGCGGTTTCGGTCGCATTGTTACAAAAGCGGCAAGTGTCTGTCTCCGCCAGACCCTCTTTTTGAGGTGGTACCTCAGAGGGCCGTGTCCTGTGAGAAAGCCTGTGATAAGCTTTAGCTCTGGTTTGCTGAGGCTGAGTAGCTCTTTGGCTTGGTTCTGCGAATGGTTGATGAACCTTTTCGCTTGTCGTTGACGTGGAGTTTGTGAGAAGATATTGTTGTTCAAGAGATTTTCAAGACACTGTATGTACGAGGATGATATAAATCAAATGTGTTTGTTCTGAAGTTTTGAGTTTGATAGAAGTCAATATAATTTTTCTGAAAAAGTCATTGCGTCAATCAATTTCTATATATTGTATTTCTTCAAATACGATTCCTACAAGTTTACCGCTGCAGAATTCAGTGTAGAACATACTCAGTTCTAAGAGGTTATGGGCCCAGATACCCAACAGTAGTGAATATCAGTGAAGAAATTATTGAATCTAATATAAGGGACGACGAAGATTCAAACCAATCAGATAACTCAAGTATATAGGACGTTGTAAAATATACAAGGATTGAAATCTGATCATGGACGAGTTCAAGGTGGAGAAATTGAATTCAGAAAATTACAGATATTGGTCAATGAGAGCTCAAGGAATTCTCGAGGTCAAAAATCTTTGGAGTATTATAGATCCAGGATTAACGGATGCGGACCTAACATTGGCAAATAACAAAAGACTTGATCACAGTGCTAAATCCATTTTGTATTTATTGATAAATAATGATAGTTTAGATGACGTTATGGAATGCAAGTCTGCCAGAGATATTTGGGAAACGCTAAGACAAATCCATACCAAATATGATACTTGGCACGGATTACTTCTTCTGAAAGATTTTGTCAACACATCCAAGAAATCAGACGAAAATATCAATGAATACTTGACCCGAAGAAATGGATTATATCATAAGGTGAAAAATGCTGGTTTCGAATTTGCCGATAAAGTTCAAGCTGGTTTTGCAGTGCTTGGTTTGCCAAGTGAATACGAATATCTATCAAGAAATTTACGAGCAGACGATGATGACCTCAATATGTGCAAGCTAAAAGCAAAGTTATTAGAGGAAGAGAGAAGAATCGAAAATATTACGAAAGAAGAAGGAAGTGATACGACGAAAGCATTCATGTCTCATAGAAAATACCCTACGCAGTATAAAAAGGGCGGAAGAAATCACAAACAAAACAGGCAGAGATCTCATGAGAATACTCATAATATGCCAGACATGCAGACGAGTCAGCGTGTTTCTCATGAAAATTTCAGATGTTACCGATGTCTGGATATGGGACACATTGGAAAGAATTGTCCTTTATCGAAGCCAATACAGTCTGTTCCAAACAACGAAGAAGCTGGAAATTCTTCCAGAGCAGTTTTCAGTTCAATAAATTCAAGAATTGCGTTGAAGGAAGATCATTTATTGCATGTAGCTAAAAACTTGCCAAATTCTAACACTTGGTTATTGGATAGTGGTGCTACAGATCACATGACTTTTCAAAAAGAGAAGTTGTGCAATTTTACGAAAATGCAAACATACATTGAAGTTGCTGGAGGAGGAACACTAACATCAACTGGATATGGTGACGTAAATCTAAAATTGAAGAAAGAGAATGGAGGGACGGAAATCACATTGAAAGCTGTTTTGTATGTTCCATCATTAAAATCCAATCTGATTTCAACTACTCTTGCCGCAGAAAGAGGTATGAAAGTGGAATTTAATGGAAAACAAGCAGTAATTGGAACAGAAGAAGAAGGAATTCTTGCCAAATCTATAAAAGTTGGGGGATTGCACTACATTTACGAAGAAGAAATTTCAGAACATGCGAACCAGACTAAAAAGCAGACGAACAAAGCAGTTACTATAGAAAATCAATTGTGGCATAGACGTTTAGGTCATATGAATATGACGAATGTGAAGAAAATTATGAAAAATCAAACAGAAAAAGACGTAGACAATGATGTAGATTATAAAGAAGATGAAGTAGTAAGACAAGACGAAGATTGTTCAATTTGTATCGAAGGAAAGATGAGAAGATCAACATTTCCAAAAAAGAGTCAACACAGAGAAGACAAGCCGCTGAAATTGGTTCATTCTGACGTAGTTGGGCCAATAAATCCTGAATCAGAAGGTGGGAATAGATATGTAGTGACTTTTATAGATGATTTTTCGAGATATTGCGTAGTGAAAATGATGAAGAAGAAAAGCGAGGTATTTGAAAAGTTTGTTCAATACAAGAATTATGTTGAGAATCAACAAGTAGCAAAAATAGTTTCCTTAAGAAGCGACAATGGAGGAGAGTATTTGTCAAGTCGATTTAAAGAGTATCTGAAGAAGAATGGAATCAGTCATCAGTTGACAGTGCCTGGAAATCCGCAACAAAACGGAGTGGCAGAACGGATGAATCAAACACTCTTCAACACTGCCAGATGTATGCTACTAGAATCTAGTTTACCTAAACGATTTTGGGCTGAAGCAATCGCAACAGCTTGTTATGTTCGAAATAGATGTCCTACAGTAGCCAATGATGGTGAAAGTCCAGTGGAAAGATGGAGAACTGGAAACAGGTATGACATTTCCCATCTCAGAGTTTTTGGATGTAGAGCATGGACAATTAACAAAGAAAGATACAACAAGTTTTCCCCAAGAAGTTTATCTTGTATATTCTTAGGGTATGATCAACATTCTAAAGCGTATCGATTATGGAATCCTCGAAATGATAAAGTTTTCATAAGTCGAGACGTAAAATTCGAAGAAAATGTATTTCCATTCAAACAACGCAACATTGGTATATTTGAAATAAAACCAAATAATGATCATGATTATTTGAATAGTGACGTGTTATTTCCAAAACTTACCATGAATGAAGAAGTTACTCGGAAAGAAATAGTTATGGAAGAAGATGATCATTCTGGTGGAATTGAAACGGAACCGCAAGACGAAGAGGAAGAAGAAATTCAGGAAAGATCAATTATAGATAGAGATGATGATACGACGAGATATGGAAGGAAATTGAAAAAAACCATCTTGGTTATCAGATTATGAGACAAATTCAATAAGGAAAATAGCTAATAAATGTAGTGAACTGAAGGAGACTGCAAAAGATCCGAAGAATATTAGAGAAGCACTAGAGGGAGAAAATGAAATATTCTGGAGGGAAGCTATGATAGAAGAATTTGATAATCTCATTCGGAACAAATCATGGGAAATTGTCGAGAATCCTAGGAATAGGAAGATTATTCGGACTAAATGGGTGTTCAAGACGAAATATAATGAGAACGGAAAGATCGAAAGGTGTCGGGCAAGACTGGTTGCATTAGGCAATACCCAAATATCAGGAATCGATTTCGATCAGACATATGCACCAGTAGTTCAGAAGAAAACGATGAGGATGCTATTTGCCATAGCAATGGAGAAAGAATGGGTTATTCATCATATTGATGTTAAAGCCGCGTATTTATTTGCTGAATTAGAAGAACTGGTTTATATGGAAATACCTAAAGGATATGAAGAACTGTATGACAATCTCAGAGATAAATTTCCAAATTTGCCATGGAATGATGACATGAAAAACGGCAATGCAATATGCAAACTCAACAAAAGCATTTATGGATTACATCAGTCTGGACTAATGTGGAATAAGACATTAGATGGATTCATAAAGGAGACGAAATTTGACAGATCAGTTGCAGATCCTTGTGTTTATTATAGCAAACGAAATAATAATATTATAATAACTACATATGTAGATGATATATTATTATTCGGAGATATTAATGAAGTAAACAGAATGAAGAATAATTTCAAGGAAAAGTTCGAAATCAAAGATTTAGGGGAAGTAAGACATGTACTGTCAATACGAGTACAAAGACAAGAAAATAGGATACGACTTGATCAGACGTTGTATGCAACTGAAATTTTGAAGGAAATGAATATGTTAGAGTCAAGAAAAGTTTCAACACCGTTACCACTAGGTGAAAAATATAAGAAATGTGAAGAAGGGGAAGAAAAACTGAATGAAGAAGAAAAAGAATTGTATCAGAAGATAGTTGGAAGTCTTATATATTTAGCCGTTTCTACTAGACCTGATTTAGCGTTTTCAGCCACATTGATGAGTCAGTTCAATCAGAGTCCTAGTAGTCATCATTGGAAAGGTTTGAAACACATCTTGAGATATTTGAACGGGACAAGAAATTATGGACTGGAATATAGGAAAACTGGTCAAAGCATTCAAGTTTATTCTGATGCAGACTGGGGAGCAAATTTGATGGATAGAAAATCATTCAGTGGAAACGTTTTTGTATTGGCAGGTGGAGCAATAAGCTGGACGAGCAGGAAACAACATTGCGTATCATTGAGCACCGTTGAATCAGAGTTTGTTGCTTTGAATGAGGCAGCCAAAGAATTGGTGTTTTTGAAGAAATTATCAGCCGAAATACACCATGGACAATATTTTGAAATCTCCTATATTCATGTAGATAACCAAGGAGCGATCAAGCTAGCTGAGAATAAAACCACATCTGAAAGATCAAAGCATATTGATTTGAGAATATTTTATGTTCGAGATTTGATTGATGAACAAATTCTCAAATTGAAATATGTCGAATCAAAACTCAACTTAGCAGACCAACTAACGAAGATTGTATCTACCAATATTTTGCAAGATCATCTCAAGAAGATAGGGATCAGAGATCCAGGGGAGGTGTGAGAAGATATTGTTGTTCAAGAGATTTTCAAGACACTGTATGTACGAGGATGATATAAATCAAATGTGTTTGTTCTGAAGTTTTGAGTTTGATAGAAGTCAATATAATTTTTCTGAAAAAGTCATTGCGTCAATCAATTTCTATATATTGTATTTCTTCAAATACGATTCCTACAAGTTTACCGCTGCAGAATTCAGTGTAGAACATACTCAGTTCTAAGAGAGTTGCTCTCCAGTAGGAGGACTTTTCAATTTCTTTCCATTTCCCGAGTTCTCCCTTTAGGTGACATTTGCTTATCCCACAAAAAGGCTCAGGACTTTGACAATCTTAAATGTATAATTCTTCAAAGTACATCAATATAAATATAATGGACTAGAAGGCAGATTTTTTCTTGCTTCATTATTATCTTCACACTTATGACACTAACAGTGTTTTCCACCAAACTGATTTTTAAAACGCCGTGACACATGTTTCGCCAACTATGTTAGCATCTTCAGGTGAAAATTAAAACTACATATCCATAGTATGCTGCTAATATAGTATGTTCACCTATCCTAACGGTATAAATTTTTTCATTGTTGAAAAATGTTCTGAATTGTTTTGAGGTCTCACACAAACGAACTCTGTCTTTTTTGAAACAGTCAAAAATCGACCTATCAGTGACCAATTTCATTTTATTATCGTGTAGTAAGTATTAACACAAGCTAGTTCACTGCCTCAAACAATTTTCTCCTTGAAGCCCCATACATTTTTAAAATAATTACTGAAATGCATGATATACCATAATATGCAAAACGTGGAAGAACATTTACACCAAGACCAATCCAATGGAACTATATACAATAGGATTTATGTATTGTGTAAATCTCAGCACACCCCTATGATGAGAGTGGAAATTTATGAATCTTTATATGAATAGGATAAAAATGTGCATTCTATTTATTTTTTGACTAGTGATTACTACTTGTGATATTTGGAATGATAAGACTGGTGTACAATAAATTCCAATCAACTCAACTATGCTTTGTGATTTGACAACATGATAGATAGCCAAGTGTTGGCGTAGAAATATTATTATCTGACGCCGTTCGAATCAGGCCGTAAAGTCGAAGAGCACTCCGGAAGAGCATAATATTTGCTCATAGTTTGCAACAAAAACATATTCCAATAGGATGAAATATCATTTGATGTCTGTACCAACACAGTGTACTTGTTGAATATCAAAAGGACATATTATTTCAGTTGCCTATTCTAATAATGTCAACATAAATTAGGTAAGAATAAAATATTAGGTATATTTACAGAAATGACACCTACCAATTTTCCCGTCAGAACACCACAGGTCTCTATATTTTTGAATGTGTTGCTTTGTGCCATAGCCTGAAATAAAGTCATCACTTTCACTGGGACCATAACAGGCCGTAGTGTGTTTCCATCATATCTTCTTACTAGGTTAATATCAGATGGTTTTTTCGTACGGTCGATTGTTGGTATGTCTGCTGATTTACTAAAAATATCATGAATGAAAAATGTAATAATACAGGTTTTCCCATAAACAGGGAATGATACTTTGGCAGCGGTCACTCTCAAGATAGTATTTCATTGTTATTTCTTTATTTTCCAAACTATTTGTAATGAAACGATTTTCATACAGGGGTGGCTGTAATGAAATGTATCATTCATAATATTTCTGATAAGTTTCTGGCTTGAGTAGTAAGTTGCATAAGCATTAAAAGAAAGAAGAACAAACATACAAAGAGAATGATGCATCAAAATATGGAATCGTTTTTTTTCCTTTCTTGTTATAATATTCTTCCTTATTATAAACTATTTTGGCAATATTGTTTTCTTCAACAAATCGATTTTAGTTTAGAACTGAGCATTCTATCAAAATGAAACAATAGTAAATTTTTCACTAAAATCTCACAATTTTCAATTTCTGTGATGGAATTGCAAAAAATTATAATTGCTAACTGAAAAGTGATGAATGAAAGTACACTAAACAGACCCTTCTTAATACATTCTTGAATAAAAACTTCGTTAGTATTTTGATTCGGCATGGAAAGTGGAACAATCTGTTTACCTAACACCAGGTGGTATTTCTTCTGAATCAGCTGGTAGTGGTGCAGATGGTGTGAAACTAAGATCTGAGTTCGGATAAAAAATATCATCAAGTACCCCTAATCTCACTGTGGTCGAATTTTGATGATGAGGTGGGTGGATAGATGGGGTTTTATGTTTGTCTACTGTTTTTGCTTCAATATTCGATTTCTCCTCTAGATCTTGTTTTTTCTGGAAAATATAATGTAGGCAGGAGTTTATTTAATACATCCGGTTAACTTTATGTATTGGCATTAAATTGACATACTGTGTGGACTGTAGACTATCCTCAATTCATTTCTCAATGCAAGGGAAAGGAAATTCATGATTATTCTTCATTAAATCCAGTCAAAATACCAGAGATTATTCACATCCGATCAGAACGTCACCTGGACATTCTCCAGTGTGGTTAATTTTTTTTTTATCAATTGGTCACGGATCACGGCAATAACATAATCTGCCAAGCTGAACTAGCAAAAATCATCAATTAAGTGAGGTACGTGCAGACACTGGGAACTATGTATTTCCCAATCCACGCAACTGTGCCCTTCTCACTCTTTCTATATATCTCACTCTCTTGCACTGTCCCCATATAGCACAGAAGATTGTATTTGTATGTGCATGTCCGGCGTTTACAAGGGAAAATATGATGGGTAGAATTCTGATGGGATCACATATATATCTACTACTCATACATGAAGCATAGCTGTCCCCAAAGCGGGACCAACTTCTGTCTCTATAGGTATCAAAATCGATCAATAGGTGTTGATGCCGACGTAGGGAAAAAATAATACGAAACTTCTCAAACCAATATGACTGTTTCCATCCTTCACTTTCCGTCCTTATAGATTCAAAAAGTACCTCTCATTTTGGTCCTTTTGGTCCCATTTTTGTTGAGATATCGTATAGACGATGCGCCATATATAGAAATAGTAATATATGGGATCACAATACACTCTTCTTGGCCAAATACAGGGTGCGTCCAAATAGTCGTTAATATTTGGTAGCGCTGTAGAATATTTTGTAGGAGGGGTATTATGGTGCGGTCGGTCTTAAACGATAATATGTCTCAGGAAAATTAAGTCACCATGCAGCGCTACACGGGAGAGGAGCGCTCGTTTTGTGTACGCCAGTATTACCGCAACAACAATTCTGCCACAATTGATCGCCGTAGATTTCGACAGCATTTCAATTTGCATTATGTTTACTGTTCAGCAATGTCCAAGCCTTCCGTTGATTATGAAATGGGTTCGCAAGTTCGAGGAAACTGGTTCAACGTTAAATAAATGCGTCCCTGGTCGTCGAAGGTCAGCGAGAATCGCTGAAAACATTGAAAGAGTTAGAGTGTCTGTGCGGCAACAACCAAACTTATTGACACGAAAGCGCGATGCAGCATTAAATGTCTGGAGATCGTCAGTGCTTCGCATGCTTCACAAAGATCTACACATGCACCCCAACAAGATTCAGTTAGTGCAAGAATTGAAGCCGAGGACCCTGCTGATAGACTTTTATTCGAAATAATAACGAAATAATAAATAGGTTTCCAGTAGTCGAAAACATATTATTCTCCGATGAGGCTCATTTTCACTGGAATGTCGATACTCAGAATGGTCGCTACTGCATGGTGTATGGAAAATCCTAAAAAAAAAACATCAAAGGCCTCTGCATAGCCCAATGGTCACAGTTTGGGTTGCAATGTCGGGATCCGGAATAATCGGTACTTTTTTCTTTGAAAACCACCAAGACCGCGCAGTAACGCTGAATTCGCAGTGTTATGTCAACATGCTTCAAACCTTCCATAGACCCGCTCTTCCAGAATTTGAATGATATACTCGTGACACTTGGTTCCAACAGGACGGAGCCACCTGCCACATTTTAAATCTCTCTTTGCCCGTCGTTTGAGCGCTTTTTCCAGGAAAATTGATTTCTCAAAGATGAGACATTCAGTGGGTTCCCGAAGCCCGGATCTGACGCCCTGTGATTTTGTTCATGGGAATATCTCAAAAGTCAAGCTTACCGCAACCGACCCACCACCCTATAAGATCTACAGAACAATATTCGACAAGAAATGGAAGCCATAGCTGCAGACACTGCCTTATGGAAAATTTTAGGGGTAGGCTTCAGGAGTGCCAATACAGAAATGGGGCACATTTAGACAACTTCACTTTTAAAACATAAATTTCCAAGAATTTTTGTAGGTTATAGAAATAAATTTGTCACAATCAATCAGCTTGTTTTTTTTTTATTTCATTTCAAAATGTAACAACTACTTATTTGGACCACCCTGTATAAACGATCAGACACATTCTAATTTTTTTCACTCTTATTATTGAACCTAATTAGATACTGATGTGTGTAGCCAAATTGGTCAATTTTTTTTTTCATTTTGAATATGCCACAGAAATACCTTTATCATTTCTGAAAATAGTACAAGCATGTTTTCCAGTGTAGGAACAAGGGTGATGTGCTCAGTGAAGTATGAATTAAAGGATAATTTTTTATCCATGGTGGTGATATTCAAGGTGGAGAATTTTGAGCCAGAGAACATCAAATGTGAAATCAATGCTCTTGCATATGGTCATTGGGTTATCTGTACAAGATGGCATCCATTGAATGATGGAAAATTTGACTCAATAATCAGATATTGGCATAAAAGAGACTTAGATTATATACTGTTACATGCATGCAACTTGCACTTTACATTCTGACATTGTAGGTATATGTTATATCCTGAAATTGTTGATTGTATCACGAGTTGTATCAAGACATTTCTTTGTATAACAATTGGCATTTTATGTATAGCTGTATATCTCATTATATAAAATCTCCCTTGTGATAACACATAGACAAAGTACCAACTATTTTATGATTGCCATCCATCTGGATTTCCCTGGACATGTCTGGGTTTTAGAGGAGTCCAGGGACATCTGGGTGGGTTTTGATAAATAGTCAGGATTTTCAAAGGGATTTTTGTCAGGTCCTACCACTGACATAAACTACTATCAGGTCAGTGGAAATTAAATATTTATTGACTTGTTGATTTAGTATTATTTATGTGACTCAGTTATGTTTGGAACTGTTGAGAATTCATTGTTTCCTTATATTTCTAAGTTTTCATTTGGTTTGTGCAACAAATATGTTGTTACCTTTACCCATACATTGTACTATACTATAGAGATATTAACTATTACTATGAAAATATATTCTTGGAATCAAGTACAAATGATTTTAAAATTTTAAAATTCCAGCTAGATTTTGAAGTAGGTAGCCTAACTATTTGCTTTTCAAATAGTCCACAGTAGGTTCAAATCACAGTGTCACAGCTACCTGATTAATTTTGTCATAAACAAGTTTGTGATCAATACTTACAAGTTCAGCCAAACACCTCTCATAATCATCCTTATATTGAACTAACAATTGTTCCTTGAGCTTCTCAGCTTTTGGGAATATTTCCCTAAGTTTTGCTTGGTTTTTTGATTTCACTTCCACAGGTACCGAATTGAGGTCTGGATGTTTTCTGATCTTCTCAACAAACAATGTCATGAATTTCAAATATAAAACATAAGCATTTTCGAGGCTGCCTTCCCCATAGTAAACATTAGCCATTCTAACCATTTCTAGGCCAGTACGATAATACCTGAACAAAAATCATGTTAAAAGTAGGCAGATGAACAGGCAGTACATCATGATTGTGATGTTTATTTCAAAACAACTGCAATGTGATAGAAAACTGGTGTAGAATTTCTGGTATGTTTAACCCAGGTTGGAACATTATAACAATACATTATTTTATTGTTCACTCACCTCATAGGAGGTACATGAAAATCTACCTCCACTTGGTTACTGTAATTTATCAATTGTTTCAACCTGTCTTGAGGTTCCAATTTATCCAGTACATTTTCTTTCTTATGCTTTGGCTCTAATCTCCTTTCGGCCATTTGAATTTTAATGATGAATTCTCAAGTAGTACCTCAATTATCACTATTACACCAAAAATTTAAAGGTTCATAATCTGTGCAAACACTATCTACACTCCTATCGAATTTCAAAATACACATTGCATGTTTATAAAAACTCAGAAATTTAATAAAATGCTATTGATTAGGTATCTAAGATTTTTATGATTTTTAATTATAATCAGAACCGACACTTTGGGCATTCAAGGTAGAAGGTGAAAAATTTATCAACAATATTTGTTTTGATTTTGAAATTTGAAAGATAGGTTGACGTATGTCTACAAATTGACATATTATGGAGTATGAATTGACAGTACTGACAATGTGACAAAAGTAAAAACCACTATTCGCAATAGAAAATCAAGGTTGGTAGAATTGATGACCGGTTTGTACCACTTTGATAGTTTTCTAAAACTCTGATAGATGGCGTACGATTATTTTCTATTTCATCATACAGTAACTGCATTTACCACAGTGACGATATAATCTCTGCCTTGAGTGACGACAACGGACTGGCAGCCGCCATGTTTAGGCTAATGTCCACTCACTAATGTCAATTGCTTTGTCTTTGTCTAATAAGCTGCTGGTATATTGGTACTCTCAAACCCTGAAGTAAAGGTCATAAGTACACCGACTTTGACTGCTAAACTCAAAGGAATTACAAGTTTTCTATCAGTACGTGAGTTTAAGTTATTGAAAACAGTCTATTATATCTCTGGAGAAATCAAACATATGCATCAGTCTTGATGAGTACTTAACTTATTTAGGTTTCCCATCAGGAGCTTTTCCAGGCGTGATGATTTGAAGTTGGTGGAAAAAAGGTATCTGAAACAATGTACCTATACTCATAGTCTACTTTCAGACTACAATGAAATGCAATTCTGCCTACAAGATTTTTTTTGGATGAAAAAGACACGGGGAAGACAACATACCTGAGAAAAATTGATCTATTGATTCAACGGCAGCAGCTTTATTGGCGACTGATGGGGTGAAAATCTCGTGAGGTTTCATGTATATTTTGCGTGAATATGACTTGCCGAAAAGAATAAATAGTAGTCAAGACGAGCTTGTTTCAAATGTCTCAAGAAGACCTTTTCAGGCCAGCGTGTAGAGATCGAGTTTGGAACCGAAAGACTTTGATGTGATGTGGTTCAAGCTAGTCGATACCAAACTGACCAAATTTATCTGCTGCCTTTACCTATATCGCCTAATGATAATGAATATACCTACCATGCAATAACCTCTTTTAGCTTTTATCACTCAAACTGGACTTCATTCAGGAGAACCATCCAACAGCTGAAATCATAATCATATTAGGAGACTTCAATGTACACAACGCAGCCTGGCTCAAATTCTCTAACAAAACAGATGATGCAGGTCGTCAAACTGAGGCCTTCGCCAGCACTCTTGATCTATATAGAACAACTAGTCTGCCAATACACTAAATGTTTTTCTCACCAACATTCCTGATCTTTATGGAATAGAAGTTTGTGCCCCACTTGGAAACTCTGACCACACCCTCATCTCCACAACCTGCTCTTTCCATGTACCATCCAACACCACAATTCCTACCCGTCTCATGTGGCATATTACAATTGGGCCGACTGGGAAGGTCTTCGTATGTTTTTTTCAGCGTTTCCATGGAAGAGAGTTTGTTTCTCCTCAGCAGATCCAACACAATGTGCTGCGACAGTTTCTGAAATCATCATATTTTGGTGATATAAACCTACATAACGAACACTGCAAGGAGAACATATCTTTCAAAAAGGTCTGGTTCAGTAGAAACTGCTCTATAGCTGTGGCTTCCAAACAGGCAGCATTCCATCGATGGCAAAAAAATCCAGGCCCTGAGACTAGAGCCGAATATGTCGAGACTAGAGGCATATGCAATGAGACAATTCGATCATCAGAGGATGCTCATAATGTCAAAATAATATCAAAACTTGTTGAATGTCTTAACGGATTCCGTTCATTTTGGTCCCTCGCCAAAGCTGTAGCAAGAAACTTCACTTCCCGTTCGTTTCCTCCTCTAACCAAGGAAGATGGTTTACTAGCCACAGCTGCCCAGAAGAAAGCCAACATTTTTGCGCATTTATTTGCTGAAAATTCCACTCTGGATTAATCGGAAAAACAACCTCCAAACATAAACGCCAATTGACAGAGTCATATCCCCGAGATCACCTTTCGCCAGCGTACTATAAGGAAGATTTTATTGGGTCTCAACACCAACAAAGCTTGTGGCTCCGACGGAATCCCACCGATTGTTCTCAAGGAATGTGCTCCCGAACCAACACCTGTTCTCTGCAAGTTGTTCAACTACTCTTACAAATTGGGGATATTCTCGTCCAACTGGAAAATTGCAAGAGTACAAAACCAGTTCCTGAAAAAGGCAAAAAGACCCTATCTAGCAACTATAGACCAATCGCACTGCTATCTATTATTTCAAAAATCATGGAGAAAGCTATCAACATCGAGCTCATGAATTACCATTCATTGTGGTCCTACGACTCTCCCGTCCCTGTTTCGAGGATTAGAAGTTCAGATATCTTGAATTCTGTTTCCGTCAGTTTCTTTCTGCTTCATAATTTCCTTGATGAATCTATGAATGATACGCCAGTTTCCTTTGCTCTCCACCATGGTAGATATAGTATTGTCTGCATTAATGTTCCTTCCCAATCGTAGGTATGTTTCCAGTCTCTTTCGATTCCATCGTCCGCATTCGAATACCGTATGTTCTGTGGTGTCTATCTGCTCACAATAGATACAGGTGTTGGTACCGCTCGCTCCAATTCTCTTAAGATAGGTATGGAATGATCCGTGTCCAGTTAGCACTTGAGTGAGGTAGTAGTCTATCTGGGCAACTCAACCATACCTGTATTCTTGGAATTAGTCTTCTTGTGCAGGTTGCATTTGTTGATGTTGTCCATAGTTGTTGCCATTTCTTTATGGAAATTTGTCTTGTTTCTTTCTTTGCCTCACTCCTGTTGTTTGACCTGTGGACATGAAGTATCTCCTCGGCCAGGAGGTGTATTGGGACTAGATCGGCAATCAGTGTTGCAGCCTCTCTAGACACGGTCCTATATGCACTGGCTATTCTTAGAGCCATCTCCCTCTGTGTGTTTGCAAGTATGATATGGTTTCTCTTGATATTCAACGTGTCAATCCATACTGGTGCTGCATATACAGTAACTTGGAGTGTATTACTGCCGCATATACTCTCCATGGTTCTGCTTCAGGACCTCCAATATTTGGCATTAGTCTTGACATTGCGCCTGCTTGTCGGTCTGCTTTCTCAGTCACTGATTTGATATGCTCCGTGAAGCTTAACCTCTGGTCTATAAGATACTTCACCGCTTTAGATATTTGTAACTTTTTATTCATCAACTCGAAAGTTGGCATAGTCGGCCTTCTATTTCCGCAGAGCATAACTGCTTCTTTTTTCCGCTGCAAGTTGCAGAGCGTTCCTCTCCATCCATTTTTCCACTATGAAGAGGCTTTCGTTGACGCACATCTCTAGGTCGAACATAGTCTTTCCCGATGCTACAATTGCCAGATCATCTGCGTAGGCCACTAGTTGTGCCTGAGCAGGGATTCTTACGTTAAGTATTCCATCATAGAAGATATTCCAGAGGCAAGGTCCGAGCACAGATCATTGTGGTACTCCTGCGCGTTTGAGCGCTTTTTTCTGAAAGGTAACTAGAGACGATCTTGATGAAATTTGATGCTATTCCTCTGTCTTTCATGCTATTTATCATTTTTGTCTATGGTGCCATATTCACAGAATTCCTTTTGATCGTTCGCTTGTGTGGCGAAATTGATTACTTCTCCTTTCGCTTTATACGCTGTTTTTTGTTTTCTGAAACTATGTTGATGTTCACTGAGGTCTCCTGTTCTTCCAAGTTCTTCGTTCAGTCTACCCAGTATGATATGTTCGTACAGTTTTCCGAGAACATCTAGAAGGCATATTGGTCTGTAGGTCTGATTTGATATTTCCGGATTTTTTTTGGTTTCGGTATCAAGACAAGTTTTGCAGATTTCCATATTTCAGGAAATATCGCGTGTCTTAATTGCATATTCAGCATACTTTTAACGTGTTCTGGATTCATGTTAACGAGCAGTTTCACTGCTTCTGGTGGGATTCGATCTGGTCCTGGTGATTTTCGCCTTCCTTGAGTTTATAGGCAGCACTTCTGATTTCTTCCAGAGATATGTCTGAGACTTCTGCTTCGTCGTCTGGTATCAACCAACTCACGAGGGGGTGTCTTGGAAAAAGGTTTTTTGCAATCTCTTCGCGTTGTTTATGCATCGCCTCGAATGTCATATTCTGCATTTTTGATCAGGTCTTTCCAACATTTTCTTTTTTCGGTGAGTATTTTCTTTTTGAGTGCCGCTTTGGCCATGTTGTATATGTTTTTCAGAGTTTGAAGCTCTTGTGTGTTAGTTCTGTGTTGTCTTGTGTATTACCTACGTGCTGTTGAGTGAGTGAGTGAGTGAGTGAGTGAGTGAGTGAGTGAGTGAGTGAGTGAGTGAGTGAGTGAGTGAGTGAGTGAGTGAGTGAGTGAGTGAGTGAGTGAGTGAGTGAGTGAGTGAGTGAGTGAGTGAGTGAGTGAGTGAGTGAGTGAGTGAGTGAGTGAGTAAGTAAGTAAGTAAGTAAGTAAGTAAGTAAGTAAGTAAGTAAGTAAGTAAGTAAGTAAGTAAGTAAGTAAGTAAGTAAGTAAGTAAGTAAGTAAGTAAGTAAGTAAGTAAGCAAGTAAGTAAGTAAGTAAGTAAGTAAGTAAGTAAGTAAGTAAGTAAGTAAGTGAGTAAGAGGTAGGTATAACTCGCAAAAATAACCTGAATGGAATTTCAGACCAGAGCATTCTGTACAACTCTGTATATCACCCTGTGTATATTCATATTCATTAAACATCGGGTGTTGTATTTGCAATATAGCAATATCATTCGTATAATTTACGAACCAAAAATTCACAAGGAATCTATGACTTTATGCAAATGATACTGAAAATGTGACGCAACACGCGTTATTAATTATTATTCCAGTGCCACTATATATCAATTTCGTTCTGCTACAGTGGGTCAAAGACTCCAAAAACCAGATGACTTATTATTCAATAATTAGATATTACATGCGACATAGCTGCATACACATCCAGATACGAGTATGACGATATATGTTCGAATAAGGAATTATTTTATAGATCGGTATCTATGATTCCCAAAACTGTTATTTTC